CAGCAGGCAACTAAGAAATGAAGGAGTAAATTTTACACAGGTTGGCCTCAGATGCATTGTCATTTCCCAGTAAATTAAAGTCTTCCACTGGACCTTTGAATTTATTGTCCCAGTATTATTCTATGCTTGCAGAAACAGCCTGACCCTGTTTTGCTGGAGTCTTCCATTCCCTACAGGGGAGAGCCCAGTGCTGCTCCTGTGTGGACCATGGCACCAATAAATTGAGCACAAACCCCTTTTGTGGCTTTTCCTGGGGCTGCCACTCAGTGTTGCTCTTCCTTTTTTACTGTTTTTTGGGTTTGTTTTTTTTTTCCAGAATCTTAATCAAAGTATTTGCCAGGGAAGAGGAAAAAAAAAGAAAAAAAAATGCTCTGCTAATTAGTTATGTGCTTATAAACCTTATTTTGGTAATAGAAGCACAGGAGTTTATTACTGATGCTGGAACTAATCCTATACAGGGCATGGGAAGTAGAAGTATATCCTGCAGTGATGGAATGTTGAGCTCTGTTGATATCTGGACAGAAGTGCTGTGAATCAGATATTCCAGTCCATTTTGAGGACTGGTCTCAGTTTTATGGACACTACAGGCACATACTCAGAGTCACACCAAAGGTTCTTAGCAAATCTCTAAGCCAGGTACATTCTGAACATCTGGACACCAGCATTTTGCTGAATTCATTTCTTGAAATCATTTAGTAGTGCTGTTTATTCTGATAAACACAAAATACAAAATGAAGCAATGCTCTGCCTCCCTTTGGTCTAAGATCTCCTGTATTCATGGTTGGCTCACTCAATTTAATAAATGTATGTGCATGATGTTTGTGTTATATAGAAAGATGCCCAAATGGATCTTTAGATCCAAATCTCCCCAAATGTGGAAACAAGAAATGCACTTCAACTGATCATCTCCTACTGAAAAAAACCCACCAAAATATGAAGATGAGCTTGAGATTTGGAATAACATTAGTGCTCCAAACTTCTGGTTTCATGTTGAGCTGACACTGGCCCTGCTGCTTTGATAGAATAAGGAGAATTTTATTAACTCAGGGTTCATTGAACATTTTCTGCTTTTTAATGTTTCTCATTTTAGTGCACATCTCTACCCCCAGACCTGAAAAGGGATTAAAATGCCAGCTAGGAGACAGATCACTCAGCATTTCTAATCACACATCAGAAATCTCAAGGTACATCGTTCTCACAAGATTTTCTACTCTTTGTAGACCATAAAAGGCTCAGATAACCTTCTAAAATCCACTCTGATCTCTTTAGTCATTAAAAAATAAGTTCTCACTGAGAATCTAAAGTAGGCTCCTACTGCAGTGATCACATTCAATCAATCCAATTTCACTCCACTGCTTCAGAAATTATTTATGCATTCATTCACTGGGAGTAACAGAAGTCTTCATTCAAAACAATATTCTGACAATTGAAACAGGGCTGGAACTATTGAAAAAGGGGTGGAAAAAATCCCTGGAGTACTGCAGGGAAATATTTTCATACACATTATATCATAATTTCAGATGGTTGTAGGCATTTTCTTTGTAATTCTTTTTCATATTCATGTTTCAGTAATGTTCCAGAGCAGCTGTCCTGTCATTGTGAGTGGAAGAATGTGCTCACCTGCTCAGCCTCCCTGAGAAGCAGACAAATACTGAATCATCTAAACTGAAAATTGGTAAGTTTAGTTTTGCATTTTCCACTACCTTCATCACTGTGAAAGTGAATTTCAATTAAAGCAAGTGACTGACTTGCTTTCAGGGAGCTTTCTGGAAATTCCAGGCTTGGTAAATAAGAACTTCTGGTGCATGTTTTCCTGCAAGGTAAGTCTGGTAGAAAGAGCCAATTAACTGAACTGCCAAAGTGCTTAGTGGCATTAGTGTAACTATTCATGTCCTATTTATCTGTCTGTGATAAAATCTTCTGGCCTTGCTGAAGAAGTTAATGCTTTCAAAAATCCCAGCCTTTGCCTTTTTTCAATGGATTCTTGTGCATTTAAAATTAGAGCAGATGTTATGTATCTGCTCTTTATAGAGAGATACTACATTTCTGGCCCTGGGCACAGTCTGCCTTTTCAGTACACTTTGTACAGCACTAACACATAGCTCCCTATGCTGCTAAAGATAATAAATGTAGGAAGATAATGTCATGCCTTGAAGAGTGATGCTTTTACCAATTGATCAGTCTGCAGCTTAATTTGGGGAAACTGAACATGAACCAAATTATCTACTTTGAGGGGGAACAGCTTCTGTAAACACACAAAATCTTGTATTAGCATCTGTGTGTGGATAGCAGGCAGTAAAATGCCACAAGCCACTACAATGTGCTTGTAGGAACTTTCAACCATTTCTTGCTGTGACATAATGAAGCACAACCAGACCTACACCCACACCCAGAGCAGTCTGCAACCCAGAGGGGAAAAACCAGCCATTTGCTGAAGGTCTTTATTTAATGGGATAGAGATGACTTTTGATTTTGATCATTTGAGCTGAACATTTTAAGAAAGGGAGTAAAAAACCAAGCAGCAGGAAGAGAGATGTGGTGCTTTCAGTCCTTGTGGGCTGGATCGTGGTTGAATGCAGAAACAGTGGCATCTAGTGGGCAGTGGGCTCCGGAAAGGCACTGGATGTAAATCAGGTCAATGATTGCAGCTCCTGATCTTGCTTATCATGGATGAAAGGTTTTCCCGGGTCTGTTTTAATCCTTCTCTTTAAAAGCATTTGGAAAACAACTATTTTTCCAGCTTTCCCACCTTCAGTATTTAACTTTCAGAATGCTTGTTCTTCTGGTTTGCAGGCATGTAGGAAAGTCCAGCATTTTTCCCCAAGATTTTAGACATGGAAAAAACCAAACCTTGAACACATTCGATCTAGTTTAACTATAGAGGAATTCAAGCTCAGCAGAGCTTTGAAGGAAAGATCTGTGTAGGGGAAGAGAATTTAAAAAAACCTGAAGGACTCTGAAAAAAAGCTTAATTACATAATTCTGTAGCTATAACTAAGTATATTTATGCAGTGTTTACTTTTCACGCTAATTATAAGTTTTTTCACTACTGAGTCCCAATAAATGCTTGAGCTAATTTATTTATACCTGATCCTCAGATCTTGTTCTCGTTAGTTCACTGGATTCTATGTAAAATTTTGTGTATATTTTATGGACATACAGAAACACACACAATTAGCAGGATGAGGGGTTGCTGCATCCATGGCAATAGTCTAAAGCAGTCACATGCCTTCACTGTCCCTTCAGCTTTCAGTGTTTGCCAGTGATGAGCAAACTTAGGAGAGTCTGCTGTGCTGTGCTGGCTCCTCTCCTCTGGCTGCCTCTCCCATAGGCTGGAGGGTGTTTCTGTGTTTACTTGCAAAATTAATTTGTATAAAGGGATGACTTGGCTTCTTAAATCTGGCAGAAGAGCTGAATGTCTTAAAAAGCAGTAACTATGTTCTTCATGATCACAGGATTCTAGAGACACCCATAGGCTTTAGTCTAGGTTTCTTTTATTTTTAACTTCAACATTTTTAGTTCTTTCTCCTTTCCTTCATTTTTTTTCCTTCCCATTATTCCCTATGTTTCAAACTTTCCTATATGGTGTCTGCTGCTTTTCTTGCCTTGAGGGACCAGGATGTTCTTCAGTGGTCAGTTCTAGCCCAGAACAGAGATGTAGATACTTACAAGAGAGATGAGTTTGGTATGAACAGGAGTGCAAATATGAGTTGGCTCCTTTGCTCATCAGCCTGACACCAACATGGGCTAAAGATCCTTAGCACTACACCATAATTCCCTCCCTTGTGAAGTGGGAGGGAATGTGGATCAGTGATCAGGAAGTACTTCACCTTTCTATGTTTCTAGTTTTCTCCTTGTTGATTAGACTTAATAATACTTCACTTTTGGTTGGAGATACCTACATGAGATCCTTCAGCCCTCATGTGGAAAAGCAAACTGCAAAGCAATGAACAATATTCCATGTTTGCCTCAGGATTAGCTCAGTGTTACTGAGAACTGAGCAGAACCTTCTGCTTAACCTTCTCCTTAACCTTCAAAATGACAGAGTATAGCCAGGTGGGAGTTCTTTCATTTCAAAAAAGTATTTGAAAAACGACTTTCACAGGGTGACAGTTGACATAATTGTCATTAAATGAATTTTTCACTGTGCAAATAAAAACAGAGCCAGGATTTCACCTAGTGACTTTAGCTCAAAGAGATATGCAAATTTAGATGTCTGTATTGAGAGAGTTATGAATGAAGCACACAATAGCTGCCTGATTATACTTTTTCACACTCCCAGATTTAATCTGTGATTTATCTTGGCAGTAGGGGAAAGCAAGCCTTTGATGCTTTGAGATTTAAATTATTTCCTTGGAGTCATCTAGGAGAGCTGTTTTACTGGAAGAAAAGTATACCAGAAAAACTGTTGATCTAGTCCAGCCTGTCAAGAGCTCTGTAGCACTAATTGCCTTATAGATATTCATAAAATTGTGTTTTATTTTGCTCCCAGTCCTCAGGCTTCAAGTATGACTGCAGTGAGGAGCTCTGAAAGTTACCATTCATAACTAATTCTGTTGCCATTAAAGATCACAGCAGTTATTTGAGAGCCATAAAGCAATTTTTTTATGTTGTTTTGCAGGTATCATATGTCTCTGTTGCCATTACAGATCACAGCAGTCATTTGAGAGCCATAAAACATTTTTTATGTTGTTTTGCAGGTATCATATGTTTCCCATCTGACTGTACAAGATATTATTTTCCAAGGTATAAGTTATAAAGGCACACAGGCAGGAAAGGGCTGGCTGGATTCATCTGCCTCTCCTGGCAGAATTACAAGGGAAAGGGATAATTGTGCAGAGAAACTACACAATTATTAGTCTGCACCATGGGGCTTCCCAGCTGCTGATCCTAGAAAGTCTTCTGATGTTGCCTTAGTACTTCACAACACTGAGCATCACTTCCAGTGAGTTTTGTCAAAATATAGTATAGGAGACTAAGGGAACAAAATCATCTGCAAATGGAATTAAGTCAAGCTTTTATTATGAAACAATACATGAAACACTCATCAGGCAGTAGGAAATAGTGTTACATAAATGTTGTGTCCTCATGAAATATTGTTATTTAACCTAGAAAACTGTAATTAAGGATTCCTCCAAAGCCCAGAAAGGTGGCCTTCTGCATGTTGGCATTCTGCAATTTTCTATTGACCTCTCCCTCCAAGTTCCTTTTGCTTCAGACAGACTGAACCTGTGCCTTTGAAAGGATACTCTAGGACTAATAAGCTGTGGAAACCCTCAATTGAGTTATTCATGCATACAATCATTGCTGGTAGAAAATACATGGTGGTCTAGAACTCATCAAGCCACTTAGAGCTGGAAGATCTGCTGTACCATGAGGATTGCTCTGTACTGCAGAAAGGTTCTGCTCTACAGGGAGCATGTAGCCAATGCAGGAACAATCTTGTCTTCCTTAACACAATCATGTATAAATCCATGTGGAGATCTGCAGAAAAAAGAACCCAAAATATCAAAATCCATGCTGACATTGACCACACGAATAACATCTTAAGGGCTTCAAATCATTTAAACTTTTCTAACATTAATTCTTCACAGTGGCCTGGGAGCAGCTGTTGGAAAGAATTCCTGTAGCTAAGTGAGCCAGCTTTCAACTGTGTCTCAGCTGGAAGATTTTTTTGAAAATTGCCAACTTACCTCCTAAGGCTGAAGTTTGGGAATGTTATGTTTTTGTTTTTAAATGAGTTTCAGACCTTTGTTTTATTGTGGATTAATAGAGCCCCACTGAAATCTACCACAATGTCCCAATTTTTAAAGGTATAACAGATCAGCTGTGACAGATACCATCTCTGTATTCTACTGCTTAAAACTTTTGAAAATATGAAGCTAAATCTGCAACTCTTATACTAAAAAGTGAAGTGGGAGTGATATAGCTTCACTTTTATGGTGATTATTCAAACTTCTCTCAGTTGGCAAATTTCATGTCTGTTTAAAAAACCTCCTTGCAGGTCAGACTGCATACTGAGTATCTCCAGGATGACAACTGAGTTTAATCCTGCCCCAGTCCCACTGAGAGCTAAGTGAACCAGTACAAGACTTAAACAGAACAGTTGGAAAAAGAACAGGAGCAGACAGGAGGGAAACAGGAGCAATTTGAAGCCACATTAATAAGAATGGTCTGAAGTCACCAGCTTACACCCACATAGCAACGAAATGCATAACCAAAGTTTTATTAATGTGAACAGAAGTGTCCCAGGCTGTTCAGAGTGACAGAGTTGATGCCTGGGACACTTCTGTTCCCTGTCCCTGCTCAGCTGCCCAACACCTTTCAGCACAAGGTGCTTCCCCCAGCCTTTGGTAATTCCCTTCTCTCCCAGTGTGTGGCTCTGCCTTCCATTATGGAGAAAAAAATATGCATTGTAGAAGAAATACATATATATGTATATGTACCAGTTGCAGGGCAGGCAAACCCATTAGACTGGGTGCACCAGATCCCTGTTGCAGTGTGGCAGGCAGTGAGGATTCAGCCAGTGCTCAAGGAATTGCTCTTCTGATCTCTGCTCCAAGCGCTGGAGGTAAAGCATATACTCCTATTTAAAGAAAAGCAAAAGCAATTTAATTGTGTAATCACTCAATTCTAACGTCAGGCCAGGGACCCAGGATAATTTCACAGCTGATGTAAGAGCCATTAATTTATCCCTTAAAATAATCAACTACAGTGGAATGGTGTTGCTGGTCAGCTTGCCCCAGCCTAGCAATATTTAGTGAATGACATCATCTGCAGACCAGCAGAGGTCTTGAGCAAGAATTATACAACAATATTCATAAATTAGGAACTCTGTATACACATTTCTTATTTGCATATCAACACAGAAGCCTTTCTTGTGCCTGAGGGTACAAAGGATTCTCACAAATAGATTTGTTATAGCCCCTTTTGAAAACTGGTTCCTGCTGCTTAAAGATCATTAACCCCTTGCAGGATCATGTGGCAGGACTGAAGGGTTCTAGTAGGTAGCACACAATACCTACACATTTCCCAAGCCACAAGCTATTCTAGTGCTGCAGACAGTTTATTTCCATTACTCTAAAAATGTATAAATCTAAAAATACTTGCAGCAATCAAATTTAAGCTGTTATTTATGCCAAATCTACATCTTATAAAATGCCAACAGCTTTATCAAACCCCATTTGTAATTCCTTCAACAAAATCATTCTGGTTTTATTTTAAGCATAGGTAGTTTGAATTTTCAATACCTTTTGTGCTCATAATATCAAAATAAGTTAAAACATTTATATTTATTTTATGTATTACCAGTGCTAACTGGTGATAAAAAAAATAATGTGAATTTCCTACACCAATTGATAGAGAGAGGCTTTGGTCTCAGCAAAAAATGTATTGAAATAAAGCAGGCTGTGTACCAAAAACTTGACCTCCATCAGGGACAAAATTTACTTTTAAAAAGTGCCAGTCCTAGTGGGCTCATAAGCTTTGTGAACACCAGATACATTCATTCAAAATAATCCCCCGGTGCTTTGCAGAGTGGGAGCTGCTGGAGTGGGAGCTGCAGCCTAAACCCTCTGCACTGGCCAAGTGTCCCAGCACCAGGATCCTGCCCTGCACTGGGCTTTCTCTGCTTACCAGGAGACCTGGCTGAGATCTCTGGGGACAGAACTGGCAGGGAACAGAACTATGTGACTGAGAAGATGCCACATTATCAAAAGCAGGATCTCAGCCAAATTAAGTTTAAAACGTGCTGACAACATAAATTACATTTTCTTTTAATAATCAAATGGGGCTGATCTTTCTGTCTGTATCTGAACAGGTTTTTGACTCAAGCAGCACTGTGGAAGTCAAAGAGTATCACAAAGAATTGCAAATTACATTCCCCAGCTCAGCATGATCTGGCCCAGTACAAACAGCTTTTGCTTAAAACAGATGAACAGAGGTGGGTTCATCCCAGCATTCATTTCATTCTGCTACAAAGCATCCATACAAAATCAGTTTTTCTCCTTGAGTCCATGTGCACAAGCTGTGCACAGGGATGCAGCAGCCATGCACCTTCATTCACATGGAAAATCTCCACGTCCCACAGGGCAATGAGGGTTGTTTGTTTGATTTTTGTTTTTTTTATCAGAAGAGAAAAATCTTAGCATTTAGGGAGCAAAACAAATACTTTTATGTTTGGATTTTCTTGCAGAGGGTCAGCTTTGCTTTCTAGATTAAAAAAAAAAAAAAAAAGGTAGGAATTTCTCAAAAAGTATTTGCTCCTAATCAGGACAGAAAGTGGCAAGGACAGAGAAGCGGAGTCAGAAATCCAATATTTCTTTAGCCCTGAATCCTTCCCCACACAGAGTCATAGAATTCATGAGGATCACCAAGTCCAACTCCCTGCTCCTCACAGGACCAGCTAAAACTAAACCACAGATTAAATGTTGCATGCATGCATGTAGCTTCTTGCCATACAGGAATTACCTCAATCCAACTGTTCTGCTGCTTCATTTATTCTGTATTCAGTATTTGTTACATTTACCACATAACCTTAATTGTGGTTATACAGCAGTTGAGAGCTGTACTCCTGCTCATTTGCAAAAACTACAGGGCTTATTTAACAACTCAGAAATAACCCAGTCCTGAGTGCTGTGGGCAGCAGTGCAGCCTGCTGGGGTTTGGCTGTGTTGTGCAATTTTCAGTGTAAGGCTGTCAACAAGCATGGAGCAATATCTGTGCCAGCTTTGTTTGTTGTGGTGTCCCCTTTGACAAGCAGTGAGTTCACCCAGGGTTGGGCAGGTGGATTCTTTTTGGCTGGTGTACATTACCCACTGGAAAGGAAAACCAGAAGCTGTTTCTGCAGTCCTGCAAGGCACGCAGTGCTCTTCATGTCCTGTGGAGTCCAGAAGTGTTCAGCACCTTGCTGAACTGAGCCCCTGTGCCCATCATGCACAACCCCTTGTGTGCTCCTGGCTTCTGTGGGCTTTGCCTCTTCACAACCATGTGATTTTAGCTCCGTTTATTTACTTTGGAAAGAAAGAGGCAGTAGTTTTAAAATACCTTAAGTACCCTTGATGAGTGCAGATTATGTGTTAGGTCTTCTCAAAGCAAGGAAAACAGAAGGCTCTTTAATTCTTTTACTTTTGTTGTAAAAGGGTTTAGAAAGAAATAAATGTAGATATTGCATGAAAACCCAAAACTGTTGCATTAAGCCAGCAAGTAAAAATTCTCACAATATCATAAAAAACATCCTATCTGTAGCACCCATAAATAAGCGAACAAAAGAAAGTGATTTTTAAAGCTGATTGAGAACTACCTGAGCCTCCACACTGGCCACTGACATCTCCTCTCTGCCTGCAGAATGCAGGCAGAATGTCCTGTAAGCAGAAGACCTTTCCTGTTTTTTAGTTTTTCAGGAACAAGCTGATGAAATTCACATCTCTATAAATTAAAAGCCACTTTCTTCTCAATAATTTGACTGGTATTTTTGAACCATGATAAATAATCTCTTCATTCTGCACGTGAACATTTCCTGAGCAATACTCAGCAGTTACAGAATGTTTTTAACTGTAATTAAAAGAATTTAAAGGGGTTTTTTTAATATTTCATGGAAGAACTCAGCTGCTTTAAACAGTGATATTCATAACATATTGCCTGGAAGCAATAGAAACTTAATATTCAGCACAAACATTTTGGTGTTGGGTTTTTTCAGTTAGTGTAATTTAACAGTAAATGTTATAAATCACCCTCATGGGTTCATCAGGGAAACCAGCTTTTCTTGGTCTGTCTTCACGACGAGTCCTCAGCATCTGTTTGGCATCTTTTTCAGACAAAATTGGTGAAGTGTCTAAAGACAGAACAGCAGAAATTAATTCTAAAGTTATCAAAAAGTTAGTATTTTATCTATCAGTTGTGAAATTAAATGTCTCCATACCTGTTTTTTTATTCCTAGAAACATTCATTACAGCCCCTTCCCAGGGGTTATTGCAATCTAAGAGATAGGAATGGAATTTTAAACCATTTTTATACTTGTGTTTTCTCTTGTCCTACTAGTATGAAGAAAATCCCACATATTCATGGTACTATAAAATGAGCAAATACAACAGCACCATCAAACCACTGGCATTAGTTGCTCTTCCAACTTTTTGTTCTCTTCTGTGTTGCTTTATAGGATTTTTTTCAAAGTAACGAGTTAGATACATTGCAAAGAAGAGATTGCACTGAACATTCCACTTGCAGGACCTTGGTAAAATAATATTAAAATAGTAAGCAAGTAAAACTAAAATTTTGGGGTTTACAACAAATGACTGCAGTGTGGTAATGCAGAGAGTTAAATATCAAATACAACATCATAATAGTTAAAAATCAAATCATGGAAAGCCTGCAATATAAAAATAGTTGAGTGTTAAAAATTAAATATATTAAAATATATGAAAAATTATACTAAAATAGAAGATTGACAAACTAATACTACTCCTATGCTCTGCAGATCTGCACACATATGCAGGTTTGTTGATATTCCTACCTGTAACAGTGGTCAGCAGGACCAAAAAGGAGACAAACACAAGAAACTTCTTCATTTTCACTCTGCTTTCTCTCAGTCTGTTCCAAAATGAGCAACCCTGACCAAGGCAGTCGCCTATTTGAAGGAGCTACGTCAGTCCCAAATGTTTGTTTATGCTTCAACTTGAGTGATAGTATGATTCTGAAGACATCTGGTCTGAAGGTTTGAATCAGTCTATTATCTGCTCACACATTCTCTGCATAACTCTTCTCCTGAGGGAAAGAAAATAGAAGGCCTTTTTTTCCACCTCAGGCTTCAGAGCTACACTGGGTATTTTAAACTTGTGAAAATAAAGCCTATCCCCTTATATTTAGCATGGCAAGCAAAGGTTTTTGGTGCCCAAGGTAAACTATTGTTTTTTAAAAGAAACAACTGCCCAGTACTGTTAATCTCAGAGGCAAGCACCCATTTTTCAAAGATTGTCTCTAACTTTGAGTACTTACTAATGGGGTTTAACTCTAGCAAAGCCAAACTATGACTACTGAGAAACACAGCAGAGTTTTCTATCAAATTAACAGAACCATACAAATGAAAGCCCAAATAATTCTCCTCCTTTCAGGACAAGTTAGTAGAAAACAGGATTATAAAGCATATTAAGCATAGTGTTAGGTAAGGACATAGATTAGCAAATGTCACTGCAAACAGGTGGTTCTGGCCTTGAGAAATGCCTAGAGCTCTTGTGGGCAGTGCCATGCTGAACACATGGTACCAGCATCACCAATTTGTAGGGCATGAAATGCATCCCTTCAACTGGAACATATGAAATAGGTAGTCATAGTTCACCATTGGCTCTCACATGAGGGAAGTGAGGAATTTCCTTGGAAATCTGAGTGTTGCCCAGCTGTACAGTATGTGCATTTTCCAGTGTTTTTTTAAAGATACCAAGACCCTAGAACCCAATCAGTTTTGTATACGCTGTATGGATTTACATCATTGCTCACTATGCTGTTTTGAAACTGCAAAAACCTGTAGGTTCTAATGGCAGCCACTATTTTTAGAACTACTCCAGGGAAACAACTGAACACGTAATGACAGAATGAAATTATGAGGGGAAGGCATTTATGGTTGGGCAATATAGCACAACCATGGGGAGGACGAAGGTGTGACTTGAGGGAACCTCACTGCTCTCCACAGCCACCTGAAATGTTGTGCTGAGGTGGGGATTGGGCTTTTCTACAGAGGACCAGGGGAAATGGCCAAGCTGAGACGAGGGAGAGTCAGATTGGAGCTCATCATCGTTCGGTGTGGGCAGGCTTTGGGAAGGGCTGCCCAGGGGTGTGCAGTCCCCACGGCCGGAGCTGCTCCGCAGGATCCGGACCTGCTGTGGGTGCTGTGGTTTATGGGCACAGCGGCAGTGCCGGTCCGACCGAGTGACCGTGAAGGCCTCTTCCAACTCTGGTGACTCCATGATTCTAGGGCAGAACGAAATTATGGGGGAAAACATTTCTGGTTGGGCAATAAAGACACAAACACCGCCGTCACTCGGCCCCAAGCCGGCGCGGCCTTCGCCTCGGGTCTGGGCCCGGCGGAGCTGCAGCCGGAGCGGAGCCGGAGCCGGAGCCGGAGCCGAGCCGGAGCCGGAGCCGGAGCCGAGCCGGAGCCGCTCCGCCAGGCACCGTGGACAGCTGGCGACATCGCGGCTGTCGCGACAGGCGGGGCGGGCGGCGCCCGTGTCCCGGCAACGGCCCCGCGCCGCTTCCGCTTCCGCCGCCCCGCGCATCCCGCGGCGCCGCTCCGAGCCCGCCGTGCGCCGGGGCGAGGGGCGGCCGGGGCCGTGCGGCCGCGTCCTCCCTGCGCCGGGGACAGCGGCAGGAGGGCAGCGGAGGAGCCCCGGCGGAACGCTGCCGTCGGCGCGATGCGGCGCAGGTCGGTGCCGAGCCCTGAGGAGGGGTTAGAAGATGGTGCGTGAAGCTGCGGCTGGGCTCCCTGAGCGAAGGGGCCGCTCCGGGGCTCGCCCCGCCGCCTGCCCGAGAGGTGCGCGGGCTTAGGCCGGGCATGGAGGGCTCGGGCGATGCCTCCCGGGCCGGCGCCGACTGGCGCCTGGCCGTGTGGACGCTGTGCTCCGTGCTGCTGCCCGTGCTCATCACGGCCTGGTGCAGCTTCCAGCGCTCGCGGCGGCAGCTGCTGATCCGGGACATCTTCCGCAAGAGCCAGCACGACTGGCGCTACACGGACCTGTTCGGGCAGCCCTCGTACTGCTGCGTGTGCGCCCAGCACATCCTGCGCGGCGCCTTCTGCGGCTGCTGCGGGCTGCGCGTCTGCGAGGCCTGCCTCAAGAAGGCGGAGCGGCGCTTCCTCTGCAAGGAGATCCTGGTGAGGGGCGCCCCGGGAGCGCCCGGCTCCATGCCGCACCACTGGGTCCGGGGCAATGTCCCGCTCTGCAGCTGCTGCGCGGTCTGCAGGCAGCAGTGCGGCACGCAGCCCAAGCTCTGCGACTACAGGTACTGCGAGGCGGTCTGGCCGGGTAGGAGCGCTGCGGTGTTGTGTTTTCCGCAGGGTTGTTGGGAGACCACACCCCAAAAGACATCCTGCAGTAGTCAGATAAGATAAACCAACTTTTAAGTGCTGTTAAACCAAAGTCAAAGAACCTGAAATTAAAATGGGTGCTTGTGAGTCAGGGATTAAGAGTGTGGCGTTGCATCTCACTCCACTCGTTCTCTTAATTGCATTACTCCAGCATGATGTGCAGGCTCCTGTATAATTATATATAAGAGACTCTCATTGTCCAAGGGAGTTTGTATTTTAGGGGATGATATTAGGAAGTTTCTGATAAATTCATTGGTTGTACACTGGATAGCCTGAGCAGTTTGATTGGCACAGCTTACAGTTCAGAGAACCAAAGTGTGCATCTCAAAATTGGCTTCTGCTCAGTGTAAATAGAGCAAGCAATGTTCTGTAGAGGTTTCAGGTTCATTTTTAAGGATGCTCAAAACAGCTAAAGGGAAGTATTGTAAGCTACTGCAATATATTGGTAAAGATTGTGGTTCAGAGTGTTTTAAAAATACGATAAATGGATTTGCACTGCCATTAGTAAGGCTGCTTGCAAAGTTGTTAGTGCCAAAATGCAATGGCAGGTGCCCCAGTGTGTTACTTCAGCCTACTTAGGGGATGTTTTCAACCTAGATTCTGCCAGCTTTTGCTTTGCTTCTATGTGACACTGTCAAACTGCTTGGTAAGTAAGCAGAATTACAGAGAAAAAGAGCACATGATCAGAAACAAAACCTTGAGAGTGTGTGTAGGAGAGGGAAGGGCAGGAATTTGGAGGCAAAGGGGAGAGGAAGGAAGAGAGAGTATAGGGCAAGCGTCATTGATACTCTAGTTGTGTGTTGGATTAGTCAGGAGGACTCCAAAAATAGCTTTCCCAGCTGCTTAAATCAAGGCTTTGGATGTAGTAAATGAGGATTAACATTCTGCAGAGGCTGGAAGTGGATATTGCAGTATTTCCTCTTGTTCTAGTCTTGTTTTCCAGGACAGCTTTTAGAATAGGTCATAAAGCAAAGCAGTTTTGCATAACTAAATCCCATCAGCCTTGTACAGTTCTGTATAACCTTTTAGATTTCAGGCTTAAAGGGGTATTATCAATCTTAAGGAATGCATTAATTCATTTCTTGTCTCACTGTATTGAATTGAGCTCCAGTGTTTTATCTTGAAGGATGGACAGGGGTTCAGGTTCCTTTTCAGGCTTTCAGTGTAACTGTTAATATTACAAACAGGAGCATATTTACAGCACCTATTTTTTAAATTAAAAAGAACTGAATTAATTTAAAATTTGGATTTTTTTCTCAGCAGAATTCAAATGCTTTCCTAGACCTGCAAGCACATGACCAGTTCATGTAATTTTCTATAGCAAATACATAGGCTTCCAGGGAATGAAAATATTACTTATAATGGTGCATGTAAGCATAAATACTTTGCCAAAAGTCTAAAATAAATGAGCAAAATCGATGTGCCTGTTTGAAGATTGTTTTCGTGTGTTTTGGTCTTTTCTCAGGTGTGTGTGGTGTCAGTACACTGTTCATGATGAATGCATGGTGGATTGTTTGAGGACTGAGGATTGTACATTTGGAGAATTCAGAGATTTAATTATTCCACCCTACTATTTGTCTGCAATCAACCAGATGCGTAAAGAGAAAAGAACCAACTATGAAAAGGTAATGGCCTGCTGCTTCTTGGGTTTAGAATATACCAAAAAAACCCAAACCCACAGACAGACCTTGAAACTCAATACATTGTGACAGTAGCAACTGTCATGTAAATGTTTCAAGATCTGTTAAGTACTTGCTGTGTTAATTCAGTGGTGTTTGTCATTTTATTAATGTCATTGTTGAAATACAAGCAGATGTGGATTTTTTTATTCCAAAATACTGAAATTTGTCTACCTTACTTCCTTGAATTTTTGTGAGTTTTTTAGTGCATTGTAGGGTTCATTGTCCTGAGCACTGCAGAATCTTCAGCCTTTATGTGTCAGGAGTATTTCTGTGTTGTCTGCTTCAAACTGACTGGTGACTTTCTCATTTCAGCCCTTGCAGGGGATGGAGCAGGGCTGTAAGCATTTTCAAACGTGCAGTATTTTTGTGACAGGCTGGTTTTTACCTTTTGCAGGTGGGCCCTTACTGCAGGAAACACTGGATGCCAGTAATGGTGCTGGCTAACACTCGTAGTGGAAACAACATGGGTGAAACTTTACTAGGAGAATTTAAAATGCTGCTGAACCCCGTTCAGGTATTTACAGTGCAAAGCCACCATAATAAATAAATAAATTTAGAGCAGAATAGATGGCATCTTGCTTACACAATGGCAATAGGGTCTTGTGGAAGATCAGTAAAGAAAACAAATTCATGCAGTTTGTTCTTTTAGCAAGGTACAGCTTCACAGAGAGCAACAAAATGTGCAGAGGCTTCTCCCAGCCCCAAGTTTGTTAGGATTCTAATACCAGTCCATTTTTTTTTTGCTTACAGTAATACATGCATTCATAATAATTCAGTCAGAAGTATCTGACTTTTGAAACAGTGTACCCTTTTTAGAAAATGAGCCATTTAAATCTTCTTTATAGGAAAGTTGTATTTGAATCCTCACTTTATTTGTGGAAATGTCTGCCTTGACAGTTTTGCTTTGTGTGGTTGCTTTCCCCTTAAACTCCACTGGGATGGCTCAGGATGTTGTGTAAGGCAGACAGTTGTTCTTGGATTTCCTGGCTGCACCTTAATACTCTTCCTTTGAAGTTCAAAACCCAGCTGTAAAATACAGCCCAAGAGAAATCACTGTGGTTTTGTCTCAAATGCATCCCAATAAGGCTTTAAAGAATAAACCTCTTTGTGTGCTGAGTATTTTAAAGTTACTTTTATCTGAAGTCTTTCATCTTTACAGAATTCATCATCATGCTTCTAGATACAGACTTCTCCAAGGGTTCTGTCAGCTCAGTTTATCAATGCCATTTAATCCTAGGGAGGCACCTGGTGCTCTGTCGTGAATTTGGGAAACAAATCCTGCTCATGAAAGTCAAGACAACTCATTTGCTAATGTAATATTGCAAACGGGGAATCTTTGTTTTACATTAGAGTTAACTTCTTGAAATTGTTTATCTGTGAGCCAAATCCTGAGTCCTGTTCTGTGAACTTACAGAATTCCTTATTTTCCTTTTTTCTAGGTTTTTGATCTCAGCAAAATTGCACCTGCTAAAGCTCTCCAGCTCTGCACTTGGCTGCCTTGCAATGCTGTCAGGGTTCTGGTCTGTGGTGGGGATGGCACAGTGGGCTGGGTCCTGGATGCAATTGATGAAATGAAGATAAAGGTATTGTGTTTTAAATTAAAAGGTGAAATGAGTTTTGATGTTGCCAAAGTTCTACCTCTCATCTCTTACCTGCATTTATTGCCTTCATCTTCCTGAATAGGCTTACAGAGGAATATTTGCATAATTGCTTATTCATATTGGGAAAGGGTATGGGAAATGCATCTTATTATTCCTTGTAGTTCAGGGAGAATATGAACACTTTAGATTTTAAATTATATTGGTAGTAGTTCTTTACTGCAAAACAAGGAGAGAACAAGCTGCTGGCTATTTTCTGCATTGTTATTTCCTCTTTGTCTGAACAGATTTATATTGTCATAAATGGTATTGCTGATATTGGCTAGTGTGCTCTGAGTGCTCCCTTCTCCCAGCACACTCAATCTTTTATAATAACCTCATAATTTTGCCAGCTGTTCTGGTTATGTTGCCAGTGCATGAGTGAGTGCAGTCATTTGCTTCTGCTCCTTGCCATATGTTCTGAAGAGTCTGTCTGTCTGCAGCCTTGCCCATTAGCTGCAAATAGAGGAGAAAAAAAATAACTCTGTTTATTGTGGATTTGAAATGGAAGATATTCTCATTTATGGGATGCTCCTAAGAACTCCTGAGAGAATTAAGAATGGAAAATAATTTTAATAAGCTTTAGTGCTTTACCTAATAAACTTTTTCTCTAGTGCTGAAAGAAAGGATTTATATTAAAGTTTTTTATTGCAGCTTTCTTGTTAATACATAAAATGTTGTAGCTGAAGGCCATTGTTACAACTTCACACATAGTCCAACAACCTCTTTGAGAATTATTGTGTGCTGATAAAGTAGAAATAAAGTACCTATTAAGGTTAATGAATATGAGTATATGGTTGTGTGGTCCTGTGCACTTGATATATTGTCCCTTAGTGCTGATATAGTTGATGAAATCTGTGTTTTTCTTTGTTCTGTTCAAATTGAGTCGTTGGTGTTAGGTAAACTGTGGAGATTAATCAGAAAAACCTTTTTCTTATCAGCAGTAGGTTATTTGCTCCCTTCATTTATCTCGACTCTCAAATACAGGTTGATGCCTGGCTGATAACCTTTCTGGATAAAACAGTAACCAAGGTGCCAGTTTACTACAAGTGCTTTCCACAGCTGAATTGCAGAGGCCATAGTACAGCTGAAATAGTTGTTCACCCTCCTGTGAACAAGTCCTTTGCTGAGGTGGCTGTTCTGAGCAGCTCCTGTCACTGTGCTCCATCTGTGGGTGACAGTGTGAAACTGAGACACTGACTCTGCTCCTTTGAGCATCTGTATTTCTGCGTGTGCTTGAGCACTGGTACTCCGTGCATCTGTTGTTCAGACCTAACCTCACCTCAGTCTTGGGAGCCTTTTGGTGTCTTGTTGCAGTTCACAGCCCTGTGTGTTACATCTCTCAGTGTTCGTGTCACTTCCCAGATCCAAGCATCATCCCTGGGAAGGAATACTCTGCTCAGTATTCATAATGTGTTGCTCCCATATTGTGTTTGTATTCTCTTCTCACAATGCTTTAACATTTCCTTCCTTCACCTTATGTCTGGGTAAGTAGCTCAATGTGCCAGCTGCTGTGCCAGCCCCAGAGCTCTGCTCTGTGGGACAGGCTGCTGGGAAGGTGAATTGATCTAATCTGAGCACTGGGGATGGAAGGGAGACAATGAGTGCTGAAGCAGGAGCTAATATGCAGTGGTTTTGTATCCTAGGGGCAAGAACGATATATTCCACAAGTTGCAATTTTACCTCTGGGAACAGGGAATGACCTGTCTAATACACTGGGCTGGGGTGCAGGTTATGCTGGAGAAGTGCCTGTAGAGCAGATCTTACGAAATGTCATGGAGGCAGATGGAATCAAACTAGACAGGTAAGGAACAGTGAAAAGACAAAATGTGTAGAACCAAACACTGCTGTAGCTCTACTGATAGACCATGGCAGCAGCTTCTTTACATAAACACAAGTATTGCCAGAAGGAACTACAACCTTACTGAGGTCTGAATTTAGTCTTTTTGTTGTTCTACAGGGCTTAACTCTCATAATTTAATTAAATTTGAGTATTTGCCTTAATCCCAGTATAGATATGAGATTCCTAGCTACAGCTTTGATTCTGAGGACTGTCTGTCTCAAATCTAAATACCAACTGTTGTTTTTCAGGTGGAAGGTTCAAGTAACAAACAAAGGATACTACAACTTAAGGAAACCAAAGGTATGGTTTGCAAGTATGAATGTGAATTCTATGGAATACCTGTATGTAATTTTGTTGTTATTATCAACTTCTCATTAAACACTCTGAATTTTAAACCTTAATAATGTTTTTTAATAAGGCATAATTGGAAGTTCTGTCTTACAGGTATTCACAATGAACAACTACTTCTCTGTAGGACCTGATGCTCTTATGGCTTTGAATTTCCATGCCCATCGTGAGAAAACTCCCTCTCTGTTTTCCAGCAGAATCATCAATAAGGTGTGTTTGCTAAAGGGGCATTTCCTCCTTGGAGTTGTTGATTTGACCTCAGGCTATTTTTAGGTTCACATTCCTTTACCACTACTTTTCTTCTTGCCATTTTAAGAGTTTGAATAAACTTTTCTTAGGGAAGGGGATTCCATGGTAGAATATGTTGGCAAGCCTACTCATGAGTGTTCTGCCTTGCCTCTGCTTGCTTACAAAATTTGCTGTTTGCTCAGTTTTTGCTCAGAATTTCTCATTTGCTCTGAAACTTCATGAGTTAAGTGCTTATTCCCTTTTCAAGTGGAAATCTAGTTTCTTATGCAAGTTGTAGCTCCTCTCATGGGGAAGGCTTAGTTCAAGGATGTGCAAATATATTATATGTATGTTTTAGATAAGGTTTGCATGGCCCTAACTATACATAAATATTTCAAATAGTTTTCCTATGTTACATCTTTTTCTAAAAATATTTTCTTTTCTCCCTGTTTTGTTTGGGATTTTTTTGTAGGCTGTTTATTTTTTTTATGGAACCAAAGACTGCTTAGTACAACAATGTAAAGATCTTAACAAAAAAGTTGAGGTAAGTTTTTTTACTTGCTTATTCTCTGGATAGTCAGTGAAGTGCAAAAACTTACCTTGTGAAAGAAAAGGAGAGAAGCTTTGCTCCTCACAATATTTGCACTTAATGATATTTGTGTGAGGGTGGCTATGACCTTGGAGTATTTTTGTGTTCCTTTTGCTGTCTGCAGCTTACTTCATGGAATTCATGTCTTGGGGCTTACTGAAAATTCCTGATTTTTTTTTCTGGCCTTGACTCAGTTCTGTGAGTGCAAGCACTGATATTCAGCTATAATTTGCCATAGCACTAGAGGCTTACATAAGTGAGAGTTCCTTTTTTCTTTTCTCTACTAATAGAAATTTACTATCTGATGTCTTGTGAAATCAGAAGGATTTTTTTAATATGGAAAGAAAACACATTTTCTTGGTGCAGGGCCAATTTTTCTATAAGTGGAAGCCTATTAAATGCATAAAGTGAATAAGTTTTATTGAAGTACTGAATTTGATCCACAGTAATTAACTTCTGCTTGTCTTTTAAAGCTAGAGTTGGATGGTGAGAGGATTGAGTTGCCCAATTTGGAAGGCATCATTGTGCTGAATATTGGATACTGGGGAGGTGGCTGCAGGCTCTGGGAAGGAATGGGGGATGAACCTTATCCTTTGGCAAGGTACAGAGGGCATTTTTTGCTCTGTTTTTTCCTTTAATAGTTCTTGCAGTGTAAGGAATTCCCTCAGCAGGCTGTGCTTGTCTGCAGGCTGGGAGGGTTCCTTGGGACAGGCTATCTCACATTTGTTTATTTTCCTTGATTTGGAGACTGGGAGTAAAGGCATCCTACACATCAAGGGGGTTTTAAGACTTGCTCAAAATGTCTGGCATGACAGACAGCAGAAGCATTGGAGAGGGTATTAATGATAAAGTGAGCCTTCAAAAAGTAGAAGATGGATCCATTTCAGAATCTAAATTACCACATCTCATTAGAGGTTAAAATGGAAAGTAAAAACAAAACATGTCCCAACATTTTGACTCCCATGTACAATACCAAAGAGAAAAAGAAAAGAATTTCAAACAGTGATTATTCCCTGTTGTGACTTTCTTCTTCAGAAGGCATCTATATAAATATACTCATAGTTTTGTTACAAGGCTTACAGTGCTGAATTTCTAAAAAATACTTGGGCAAGGTCCTTTACTCAGATCTAAAAAATTAAGCCATTAAAAAATTTTCCTTTTGATGAATATCTGAGTAAAAAGACAGAAAATTGTACAAGTTTATGGAAGAGAAATCCACTGTGAGCCTTAAACGTGCACAATGAGCCTTGGAAAGTCATACATCCATGATTTCCAGAGGCCAGCTCGGGTGTGCTGACTGGTGAATTGCTCCATAGCTGTGGGGTTTGATGGCTTTCTTTGCTGTTCAGTGGGATTTGTTCTCCAGCACAAATACATAAATGTAGTGGTAGCACATTTGTCTTCTCTCTGGGAATAGCAATAAGAGGATGTAGTGTTGGGGCAGATATGCTGGAGCTCATCAGCATCACTGAAAGAAATCTCATTTTTTTATTTCATAGACATGATGATGGACTTCTGGAAGTTGTTGGTGTTCATGGTTCTTTCCACTGTGCCCAGATCCAGGTGAAGCTGGCAAATCCTGTTCGCCTAGGGCAGGCACACACAGTGAGGGTAAGTGCTGCCTGGGGACTGTTCTCCTAATTTTTTTTTAATACACAATACAGAATCTCAAGCACTCAGCTGCTTGAATCAGATCTGAAGTTGCTGTTTGCAGTTGAGATGGATATTTCTCTTTGCTTAGTAAAAACTTATTGTGTTATAATACACAGACCTGTGTTGCTGTGGTTGGTGGCCTGTGAGTGCCACTCACAGTTTCTCCCTGGCAGGCTGTGAATGTGTATTGCAGTTGTAAAAGGTGAAGTTAGAGCTGCTGTGATTGTGCTGCTGTGTTTGGTGGCAGCTGTTTTGATTGCTGTGGTTGTGTTGTTGTGTTTGGCACCAGCTGATCCTGAAGAGCTCCAAGATGCCCATGCAGGTGGATGGGGAGCCCTGGGCACAGGGGCCCTGCACTGTCACCATCACTCACAAGACCCACGCCCTGATGCTGTACCACTCTGGGGAGCAGACAGATGATGATGATGCCTCCAGCCTGTCAGAGTGACACCAGAGCAGGGAGCAGGTGGATCCAGACCTGGAGATTTTGTGCAATTGGAATTTCTTGTGCAGCAGTGAGGAACTTCAGCTCGTTAAAACATCGATGTCTGATCAGGACTGAGCTTTATGAACTAAGGTTCATACTTGTGAATGAACTGGAGCTGAGGAGAAAGCCATGCTTCTGCACTCATGGAAACTTTCACAGCTGAATTACTACAACTGGTTTGCTTTTGGGTTGGTGGGGATGCCCTCCAGCCTTTCCAGCTCTAATGGCTGGAAAGGGACAGATGCTGCACCCCTTCCTTGCTGTGCAGTCAGGTCTTCTGCACACACACAGCACCATGTTTCAGAGAGATGTTTCATACCCTTGGAAAGGGGAACAGCTGGGGGTTTGACCTGCTTCCACCTGCCCCAGACCAAGCAGAACATGGGTGGATGCTCTGACAGCAGCCTGCTCCTGGCTGCCATCTCTGCTTGGGAGCAAGAGCAGTAACTCTGTGCACCTGCTTGTGCAGTCATTTCTAATAAGCTTCACTGGGAGAGTAGAGGATCTAGGAGCTCTGGGGAAGGTACTCAGCAAGAAAATTGCTTTTGGACCAAAGGTTTCTGGAAATGTTATTTAAAAAATTACCTTTTTCAGTGGCTTTGTAAGCCAAAGAGTACCCTGAGGTCTTGAGTCCCCAACATACAATTCAAAATACTTGTACCATGACTTGCACTGATTGATCCTGTAACTTGACTTTGCTTCAGTTCAGTGAGAGATTAATTCTAGATTTTGCAAATAGCAACATCATAGTTTTTGGCCAGGGTTTTTGGAGGAAGACTTGGACAAAGGAGCATCTTTATTAGCTGTTTAGAGAGAAGGGTTTAAAAGAAAGGAGGTTCAGAACACCTACAGCAGCACACAGGGACTGTCAGCTTGGCGTGTCTGAAGCTTCTCAGGTTAAAAGCTTCTCAGGTGAAAACATCTTCATGGTTAACAAAAGTAAAATATCTTACTCCTGTTCTTTTTATTGTAAGAATTTTAAGCCTGCAGCAGGTGAGAACTGAATTGAGGTTTAAAATATCTCACTGAGTAAATTCAGTTTAGTTACTGAAGGTGCTCTTCCAAGTAGGAAGAGAATTTATCCTGTGTAAGCCAAGTTTGTAAGAAGGTGAGAGCTTTGGTCTGAACTTGGAATGTTGCTGCTTTTGTCACAATCCCCCAGGTTTTAATTTTTTTTTTCTTTATGCTGACTGAAAATGAGACCATTGGGTAAAGTAGGCTGTGTTTCTAGAGTTTTTTTAGATGAAACCATTTTTTGGAAATCTGTAAAATGATGTTTGCATTAACAGTGAACAATCTATTTATATTTTAAAATAATTTATTGAAACTTGGCAACGTCAGTATTTTTAAAACCTTCAACTGTAATCCTCTTTGGAAAGCATTTTTAACTTGATGGTATTCCTTGTAGAAAGTGTATGTACTAGAACTTCAATACTACTGATTCTCAGTGAATTTGTAGCAGTCTGAAAATGTGATTAGAGTGTAATGAACTGTAAAGCAGAAGCCATTTGTAAATTCCATATTCATTAGCCTTATACACATAACTTTAATTATTTTATTGTATGTAAATATAGATGAAAAATAATAGTAAAATATATGTAAAAAGTGTTTAAAAACCCTAAGTATGCTATGCTAGATGAATCCATTAACTTTCTTTTTTAGTTATGAGCTTCAATTTCTATTAGCTTCAAAAATCTTACCAGTTATTATTTTTTTAATAATTTGTAACCATCAGCACCCTAAAAGTATTTAAGTTCTGTGCTGTAGTTCTTACATAATTGTTGTTTACAAACAAATGAGGAATCTCTGGGAAAGCAGGGTATGTGCTCTGAAAAGCAGTATCTGAAGTGACACCACTGGCTACTTTAAACTATTCATAATGCAGTTTAGACTTCCCTGAAGTTGATCAGATAATTATTCAAATTGGTTTATAGCCCAAGAACCTTTAACTGTTGAAAAACTTTACTCTTTTGACTGCTGACATCTAGAAAAGAAATAATTGATGCCAAGGTTGGAAGTCGCCCTGTGTTCCCACTGCAGCTTGCCATGAGTTCAGTCCAGCATGTGTGAAATCCTCTGGAAAGGGTAAATCCATCATTCCTGCTGGAGAAACAAAGTGAAGGTAGTGTCTAACTGGGTGCTTGTTTGGGAAAACCACTGCTGAATGATCCTGGTTTTGGAGGTGAAGAAGTTTGTGTCTCACCAATGCACTGTAAGTGGTGGCAGTGAATGTGGCCGTGGTGGCTGTGGGGAGGCCTCTTGTGAAACTGTATTTGTGGTTTGGAGAACATTCTGTAAGGCTGCAGTGTCCATTGTGACTCTGTAGCTGTCATTTGTGTGGCAGAAAAAGGGCTTGTAAAACACAGTTAGCCCTGGAGTCTGGGAAGCCTTGCTGTTTCCAGCTGATCTTTGCTCTCAGTGTTTCCTCCTTTCTGCTGTGCTGCAAATTGGGTTAAAGCCTGTCTGGAATGACTTGGTGGAGCCGTTTCCAGTTTTAGCCCCAGTCTGGCCTCAGCAGTGGGCTCCAGGATTGTCTGGCACAGCAGTCTGGGCTTGGCTCATTTGGAGCAGAGCTGGAGCTGCCCAGAGCTGTGGTGTGCATCTGTAAACTGCTCCCTGCTTTTTAAACGTAGGTGCACAGAGCCCCATTGCAAACAGCTCCTCCATGCAAGGAGTTACTCCTTGTAGAGTAACCCCCACAGCCTGTTCTGTGTCTGGAGAGGGGACTCTGCAGCTGAGCTCCTGTGCTGCACTGGAGAGTTTTCCCTGATCCCGTTAATCATAAACATTGGAAAAATAGAGAAAACAATATTTTAAAAAGCCAAATAACAAACTGTTTCTTCTGCCAGTATATTATAGCTTTGTGTAAAATGTACAGGGTAAACAATAACACTGATTGTCAAGCAGTTTGAAGTGAGTCCATGAAGTTTATTTTTTAGTTGTATTGCTGCATCCAGTAGCAAGTTTGGTCAGTTTCTGATAACTTTCTTTAAGGTAGGTTCTCAGTCCTGTGACAGGCAATACAAAAAGCATAAATCTGCGTGGAGAGCCTTTCTGTGGCTCAGCTCCTTGCCTGGCTCCATTGTACTTGTTCACTCAGGTTGAGAGGATGTGCTGGGCATTTTTATGTGCACAGAACCTCCTGTCACTTTGTCAGACAAGAAAATTGGAATGGCTTCACAGAGCTGTTCTTGGCCCAGTGACCCACCTGGTTGGTTTTTCCAGCCACCATCACCACTAAAGGTTCCCCAATACCCCTGGCCTGTATTGAAAGTACAATCTTTGTTCTCATTGCTGCTGGGGAGGAACGTCCCTTTTCTCCACAGGTTCTGAGAACTGATCCTTGAAGGGTTTGGTTTCAGTCTGGCCAATTCCTTCTGGTTGTGTGCTACATTGCACTGAAGCTTTTACAGTGTGTGTTACTGTATCTCAGTGGTTAAATAAAAAGCTCTGCACCTTCAGCTGTGATCAGCACAATGGCATCAGTGTTAGGGTAGTTACTGGTTTTTACCTGGCAACAAATGCTTTTGGTAGAGCAGCACTGTAACCCAGTTATTCTCTGGGGAAGAGCAGGACACTTAAAATCTGCATGTGTTCTTACTGTAATGACTACTAGCAGTTTTCTTTGTTTTGGAAAATAAAAAATGAAGTCTTCAGTTGGAATTAAATTAGACTGTCTTCAAAAATGCTAGGATGTAACTGATTCTTTTGAATGTCAACCACTTAATTAAAGATGCAGGTTTCTTCTGAGAAATGAGAGGTGCTTCTTGAACAAAGCAGCAGAATCCACTTCTTCCTGTGCTAATTAAGTAAATGGAGAGAATTTACACTTTCTTTGTTTCAGCAATGTTGAGGCCACAGTTCTCAAGCACGACGTGATCATGATTTTATCATCTAAGAGTGCTGAATACCCAATTCAGGCTTTGGGCATCTCAGGGAGATACTTCAAGCTGGAATAAAGCCACATGCCTTGACTAAACCTAGTTGTGTTGTGCAGACTGACCTTAGCTGAGGATCTGGCCCTTAACTGTTCAAAAGTATGAATGTGCTCAAAATTGTACTTTTTAATACTGCCCTGTGTCCTGTGCTGTCCCCCTACTGCTGTGTGTAATTAATTCTTTGCATTGTTTAATTTGCAACTTGTTTGTAGATTTCAGCATAAAAATAGTTTTCTTTTTAAGATTATGTAGGAACTTACATTGTATGTGAGTTTATTGCATTCTGTACCTTCAAGGTTTACATCCCTCAAAAGCCATTTTGTCTGCTACAAACTGCTGTAATCCTTTGAGTACCTCCAGCCATCCTCTCTTTCTAGGATTTTTGTAGTTAAACAGAATGGATTTTTATTTTTGTAGCTTGTAACTTCAGTATGTATAGTAATTGTTTAGTAAGTAGTGATCAGAATACTGTAAAATGTTGCTTTTAAGAGCTGTAACTTTTAATTAGTAATTGCTACTTACAAGGAAATGTCAGCATGGTAACAGTTTTAAAAAGTATATTCTTTAGCTACACATGCTGTGATGCTGCCACGTGGGATTTATATTGAATGTTTGTCTATATGTTATAAAGTGGCGCTAAACAAGGAAAAAATGAGCCTAAAGTGCAATAAATAGCTCAAAAAATAGAATTCGTAACATTTTAGGCAGTTTTCAATTGAGAAAGGTGACATTTGGGATTCAGTATGTTTTTATTTCCCACAGAGCAGTGGGAGTGATCAGGGGACTCTTGGCAGATCAGTTGTTTCCTTATGGTGTAGCTGGAGCTCTGTATTTCGTGCCCAGCTGTGAGCAGACACTGCACCATTCCTGCCCCTCAGAGAGCAAAACCCAGAGCAAGCCCGTGGCTCTCAGCTGTACAGGGTGTGAGCTCTTGCTTGCATGAAAGAACCAGTTACCGTGATCTTGGACCTCCAGAATAAATGTTTAAATCAAAATTGGCAATTTTTACCTTGACATCAAGCCATGTTTTCAAACCTCAAACTGGTTTTCCTGTGGTTTTGAAGAGAGGGCAGGCTGAAATGGAAGGGTAAGGAGGTAATCCCTTAAAAGTCATTGTTATAAAAGCAGAGACATCTGGTTTTATTTGCTGCAGAGGCAGTGAGTGTGCTTTTGTCTCATACAGATTGGATGGTTAGTGCAGTGGTTAGATGGGCACAGTGTGTGGTTTGGGCCAGGTTCAGCCTGAGAAGCTGCAGCTTCAGTGGAGCCACAGAACTGCCCTGTTCTGTGGGTGCTGCACATTATGGGGAAACTGAAAACTTGAGTTGGTTGTACCATGGCCTCTCTCTGTGACTTACACTCCCTAAAATTCTCTATGGAGAAACATCTGCTCTATATTCTTCATAAAAATTGGTAAATACAGATTTTTCACAGCACTGGCTCTGTTACTGATTTTCCTAATGCATCTGTTTGTCTTGTTATTTGTACTGTATTTCTCTGTAGATTTAAGGGTGTGGATTAAAGTATTTAAACTCAGCTTTTCCTTTTCCTCACTATGCATAAAAACAAATGTGAGTCTTCAACTCTGCAGCAGCCCCGGGATGAGGATGACTGCCTGGCTCTGGGAGGGCTGCAGCCGGATGAGTTTAGGCTTATTTTTGAGAACAAAGTTGTATTTTGTTTAACTCTGTGGCCATGCTACTGCCCAAAATTCCTGCTGAAAAATTTGAGCATCTCAAACCTCAACACGTGGGAAAAATTCTAGACAGCATAGTAATGTCTCTGGAGGTAAAACTAACACTGGTGACCTGCAAAGATCTCTCGGCAGCTGTTTGCCTGCTCCTGGTTCATTCTTGAGCCCTGGGAGGAGCTGAGGTTGTGTGGCTTTGCAATAGGTGTGGTTAAAATGGTTTGAATTCCCAGGCTTCAACGGTAATGTTGAATAAATATATAAATAATGTTGAATAAAGCAGCTTCTGCTGCTGCACTTTATTTACTCGAAGAGGGGAAGGAGCCCTACAAACCCTTACCTGTGGTGAGCAGTTCCAAGTAAGGTTTAACAGGAGATGTTTTGGTGTCAGTAGGAACTGGAGATGGGGCCGAGGTGCTGCTGAGAGCAAATCAGCAAAACTCCCACGGCCCGACCGGGGCGAGGGGGAATGCTGCTGCGAGAGCCGGGATGGAGCGGCTCAGTGCTTCCCCTGATGGCAGCAGATGGGTTCGTTCGGCCTTTGGAAGTGAGTGAATCCTGTGGGGCCACTTTGTCATGGTGTCAGTCCCCTCCCCGAGTCCTCTCCTCTGTTCCCTGGTCTCATTTGCACAAAAGAGAGAAGGGCTCTGGCCTCTCAGCTCCTGTATTATGCCACGATCAAACCTTTTTAAGACTGTTTGTGTGTTGTTTTCCCTCTTTCTCAAATGGTGAATGCTTCTGAGCCTTCTGTGGATGTGGGATTGAAATTAATGTAATTAGTAGAAGAATAATTGATTGCTGTGAAAAATGGGGGCAGTGACAATGATAAAGGTGGCTTCAAGACAACAAACACCTGTCAGATGGGACGCTTCATTCTCCATATGATGGATGCAAAGAATGCTTTCAGACAGAGACAACGGCTTCTTATGCTTTCCTCCCAGCCAGGATCCTTCTGGGAGAAGCAGGTACAGGTATGCAAAGTGATTTATAATGAGGCTTCAAATAAAGTCACTTTAAGAGTTTTAGGGTTGTTCATCATCTCCCAAAGTGTCTTTTGGTGGATGGATGACATTGTCTTTTGAGAGGGGAAAAACCCACTAAACGTTTAAATGAAAAACATTTAAGAAGCTTTCATTTTTTTCTGGCCAAATAATATTCTGATTCTTCTTGGATCAGCCTCTGTTAGTGCTGTGTAAGTAAAAGCTCCAGAGTCCCCTGGAGTCAGGCAGGAGGCATCTGTGGTAGTCGTTGTCTTGGAACACAAACTGAAAAAAATTAATCCCTGAGCTGACCTCTTGTCATGTGCTTATTTATCCTCCACTACTTTTCGTTATCAAGCTTTTCCCCCGGTGTAGCTGCTTTGAGCACAATAAAGCACAATTCCAAGGAGGTAGCAGAGCTTGCGTGGGGATCCCCTGTGCAAAGGATGCAGTGTAAGCTCAGAAATGTGTCCACGTGCAGGTGGCAGGTGTAGAATCTGCCCAGCAAAGCTGCTCTCAGTTTTTTCATTCCGTGAGCTTGCAGTGCCTGCACTGTTCCCCTGCTGCTCCATAACCACCTCCTGTCCTCTTCACATCCCGTGGTGAAAGGATCCATCCAAAGCGTCTCCCACAACTCAGAGAACCACCTGTCCCAGGGTGGTGTCAGGGTCCAGAAGGTCTCCAGGCAGAAGAACAGGATTTTCCAGCAGGAGGAGGGGAGTGGGGAGTGGCGAGGCCCCATCCGAACCCCTCTGCAGTGCAAGGTGAAGGAGGCAGGGGGAGATTTCCCCTTCACTGGGAGTGAACACTCTGGGGAAGCCTGGCTGGGCTGTGCCCCTCGGCTGAAGGATTTCCTGCTGGTTTACCAGGCTGCCAGAGCAAGGGGAGCCAACCCCTGCGAGTCTGAGCTCAAACAGGAGAGACGCTGGCTGAGAGTTGAAAAATTTCAGCCCAATCTTTGATACTGAATCTGAAGCAGAGTTAAAACCAAGGACTAAAGTTAACAATTCCACCCAAACTGGACCTGGAGGATTTCCTGAAGATAATGGCTCTGTGAGCCCTGTAAAGTGACTTTTAACTCACAATAATTTCTTTTTCATCACATTTTCTTTGCCTCACAAAATAACTCTGGATTTTGGAAAGACAGTATTTTGGGGAAGGTTAGAAAGCAGCCTGTGCTCAGTATTAGAAAAGTCTCTCTAACATCTCTTGCTCTGTGTAAATGTTATGTGCTTTTTCTCTAGGTATTTTTCTCCCCTCCCCAATCTCTGCTTGATTTCTCTTCCTTTAAAGGCAAATGTGAAAACTTCCTCTAACCTGGGAGGAAAAAACTACCTCTAAAGCAAAAAAAGCTCTTTCTTCATCAAGAACTACTTGATTTTTAAAATGGAATGTAGGTGCTGTAAAAAGTACGTGCTCTTTTCTGACATTGAAAAAACATTAAGGAGTTTAAGCACAAACAAAATGCAAATTACGTTGCCTCTTTAAAGTTCTGTTGAACTAATTTAGGGTCAAGAATTGCTTATGATGGTATTTTCACTTAAATTATCTGCCTCTTTTCAATTAGCCTTTATTGTTTGATTGGTGGCTCCTCCCACCCTCCCTTAGTGCTTCAGCCAGACTCACACAATTGCCTGTATTTTATGTAAATGGAATTGCTACACCGTAAAATGATACACAAATGTGCCTACCACCCAGAACCCAATAAATGGTGTGAATAAACCCATTATTTCCCATGTAATGGCATCTGACTGCAGCCTGGGCAACACTGGGCTGACAGATGTGAGCCCGTGACAGGGCCTGCAGAAACTGAATGAGGAGAACTGACAGGCCACAATTAATTGACTTCTGGAATGACTCCTCTTTTCCACAGTTCTACTTGGCTGAGCAAGATTCACAAATTGCTGTCTTGAACTTCTTTATGGGACAAAATAGCTGCCAATGAAAGTCTAAAATGACAGGGCCTGCAGAAAACTGAATGAGGAGAACTCTGACAGGCCACAATTAATTGACTTCTGGAATGACTCCTCTTTTCCACAGTTCTACTTGGCTGAGCAAGATTCACAAATTGCTGTCTTGAACTTCTTTATGGGACAAAATAGCTGCCAATGAAAGTCTAAATGACATGAGCTTTGAATAGAAGTCATACAACGACCACACTGTGACACGTTTTTAACTGACATTGATTATTTGAGAAGTAGCAGACACTTAATTGGAAGAAAATTAGGAAGGGGGGAAGAAATGGGAGGGAGTCATTCGGTTTAAATAGAGTGATACAATGGGTTCTGTTTGATTGGCTACTAACAAAAACACCTTCCTCACACACGTCCTTGAGAGGAACAGAAAGATGAAGTAGAAAAACACCACCTGCAGATTGTTTATACTTAAGTTATCACATCCTGGAACAGAAAGATAAAGTAGAAAAACTCCACCTGCAGATTGTTTATACTTATCACATCCTTACAACTCCCTGAAAATTCTCACAAGCTGCTGTGAGGAACACTTGCTGTTTGCTGTTTCTCTCTCTCTGTCCCACGGCACCCACAGCTCAGGGGAAGGAGGCAGTTTAGGAGCAGTCCAGAGAACACCACAGCTCTGCCTGCCCTTGCCCAGCTCCCCCACAGCCCAGTGAGTGATGCACTACAAGATCTGTCCTTTGTTGTGTCTTCACTTCTGCCTCCCTCCCTGCTTCGAGCCTGAGCAGAGAACAAAACATTCCGAGTTAGGGTTTACTGTGAGTTTTTATTGAATTCAAGCCATCACCAGTCAGTCACCAGCCAGCCCTGGAGTGGGCACAGGGACCTGGTGGCACAAACCCCGTGGTGCTGGCCCTGCCTGTGTGTGGCTGGCACAGCTACAAACAATAACACACCGTACACAGAGTGAAGAGCAGGCTGATATATCATTGTAATCAACAGGTTTATAACTGCATAAGCATATCTTTTTCTAAATGCACTGCTTTACTGATGTCTTTAACTGAAGAAAAGATTAAACATTCATTTATTTTCATTCAGCAACTGTTTTTTTTTTATTTACTCTCATTTGTATAATAAAATTCAAATCAATGGTGTTAACACCAGAATTAGTTCTTTTTCTAGACTAAGTTGCTTTCTTTGTAATACTAAAAAGAGAATTACAATTGATATATATGATCCTATATATGTCTTCTTTAAAATCAGTGCAGCTCCTACAGGTACTGCCCGAGTAAAACCACTTCAGTTGTGATGAAAAGGCTTTAAAATGATCATTTATCGTGCAGTATTTCTCCTAAACACACTAATATTTACTATTAGTTATAAAAGTTATATCACACTAATGTTTCAAAATACGCAAGACACCTGAAGCTAACCACAACATTTCTCAGACGCCCAGAGATTGGTCCTAGTAATGCCAAGGTCCCCATTTCCACCCCCATATGAATCACTCACTCAAGGGCTGGACTCAGTGATCCTTGTGAGTCCCTTCCAAGTCAGAACATTCTGTGATTCTGTGAATTCCAAATTAGCGGAACTTTACGATTTCTAGTTATTCATAGCACAAAAGAAAGCAAAACAGAGGATCAGGAGCCCAGCAGAAGGCTTGTTTCACTGCCTGGTAATGCAGGACACCTTATGTGCTCCACACGTTGGTCCTGCCCCAGTGTCCCATGTCAAGAATCCCACTTTGTCCAATGAGGCAGAATAAAAGCTGCTCTTTACTGTTTGGGTGTCCCTCCAGACCACGGCCACAGAAGCCCACGGACTCAGAGGCCAGTACTGACACCTCTTTGAAGTCAAGAAGCAAGGAACAGAGGATGGGGACTTTCTCCACTGCACAGACCGCTGGAGCACGTTTTGCCCACAACCAAGGGGACAGACTCCTTCAGCACCCTGCAGAGTGCAACTGCAGCGCTGTGCACAGCCAAGGAGCAAAAGGATTTCTCAGAGGGAACTGCTCTTATCTTTCACTACTGAAAGGAAGGGCAAAAAACCCAGTCTGTCACCCATTGCTGGCTCCCAGCAGGACACAGCCTCCTTCTGCACCTTTTGCAGGTTCTGCTCAGGCTGGGAGTTTTAGTGCTGGCTGTGCTTTGGAAAGTGGAGAGCCTTCAGAGAGTAGAACTGCTCCAAAGACAGCCATGGCACTTTTAGGTCCACCATCGATTCCATATCCTATTCTGACCAAAACATTGGAAGAAATGAGACTTGTGCTATCCTTGACAAAGTACTAAGAGTTTACAAGCCAAGTAATAATAGACACCAAGCCTGAATTCCTGAAAGCCTCTCTCCAGAGCACTTTGGCTAATGTGGAGTATAGTCACAGAGGTTCTTTTAAGCCTTCTAACAATTCCCTGCAAAACTGCCAGCAGTGGCTTTGTGTTCTATTTCACCAAGTCCTGTAAGGGCAGTTTTAGAAATCCAAGTCCAGGAAGGCTCTCATGTGAGCTTCCCATGGCTACAAGAAATAAAAGCTGGCACAGTAAGTCCAGAGGCACCAACAAGGTACAGACCTAATAACTATGAGATCCAAATACCTTGATTGCCTCCAGATGGTTTTAAAGTTGTAAGGAAGAAGTACAGATTTCTCTGTACCTGGTGAGAACTTCTGAAGACATACCACAACCCAAAGAACACCAGTAGAATTAAAAATCCATCCCAGGAAGAATGGACGTATATTCTCCTTTGTGCTAATTCTCTGTATGTCACAAGACTCACCCTGTCTGCCCACAGGCTTCACGCAGAGAGGAACCAGCATTTTCCAAGTACTTGCACTCTGTCTTGAGACTCCTCAAATTGGAGTCCCAAAAACAGGCAAGAAATCCAGTTTCTACCACCTGAACAACAAAAGGCACACCAGGAGAGAATATCCCACCTCATAAAGAGGAAAAGCTTTATGACAGGAGGCCCTTCTTTAAGCTAAAGATACACCAGCAGAGAATATCCCACCTCATAAAGAGGGAAACAGAACAGGAGAACCTGAGAGCAGGAATACACCCCCTGAACTCCCCAGCACACACAGAAAAACCCAGCACTGAAGAGCCTTCAGTGTGAAGATGTGAAGCATGTTCTGGGTCAGAAGATGACACAGAATGCTTCATCCCACAATCTTCATCACAGGATGCACACCACTGCTCTGCAGAATGTCTTCCTGACAACTCTCTGGTGTATTCCCAGTGTCTGGGCTGATGTCATTTGTTGCCTGGTGATTCTAATACCATTTATTTCCCCTCAATTCTAGAAGTCTCCGCAGTTCCATTCTGATTAGATTTGTCACAGTGGTTTTTATAACTTACAGCCATAAGACCTGAACTTAGGGATTTCAGCAGCTCCTTCTGTAGCATCTGGTGGAGTCCTACACTGAGAACACCTGTATGGACAACAGCCTGTGCACAGGCCAAAAGGCAACAGTGAGACCTCCCTCAAAGCCTGAATTTGTCAGGGAATTCTTCCTGTTTCTTTCTCAAAGGGGTTATTGTTACCCATTAACACATTAATTCTGTTGCTCCTTTACAGGAAACCACAGAAGCCACAGGCGCCACTGAAGACATTTAACAAGGATTTGCATCATAACTTTGATTTCAGGGCAGCCAAGACCTTTGCAAACCACTGTAGTTTGTACCATCACCAACATCTTGCTAAATCACTAAGGGCTTTAGCAATTCAGTCCAAAGAACTGGCAGATTTCCTAAACTGCTTAAAAGAGATGATAATTTCTGTATCAAACAATCAATCTTTGAGACAGATTATCTGTGCTGTAAATGAACTAAACTGAGATACAAGACCTTACTCTTTCATGTGACAGAGAGAGAGAACAGCATCACTGGAAAACAGCCAGAAGGCTGGGTACAAGGCTTCAGTGAACTGGGCTTTGAATTTATAGATCAAGTTATTCTTCTCCCCCACTGCCATGAAAATCACAAAGCCCCCCTCGCAGTGCAGCAGCACCCCAATCTTGGTGGCCTTTGTGTTGGGCAGGCACTTTTCCACGTCGTTGTGCCAGGATGATATTTTGGAGTTGAGCCACTCGACGCACCAGGACCTGGAGTTCCTGCCCAGGCGGCTCTCGGGGCCCTGGCGCTCCATGCTGCCGTAGCAGACGCCGATGCCGCAGAAGCTGCCCTGCTGCAGCTCCACCTCCCAGTAGTGGATGCCTCTCTTGAAGCACTGGAAGCCCAGCACCTGGCGGTAATCGGTGAAGCGCTGAGGGTGGTACCTGTGGCCTGGGAAGGTGTCCGAGATGGACATCCTGGTGTAGTTGTCAGCCAGAACCACGGTGTTGTGAGCCGTGTTGTAATCCAGCGTGATGTTGGCAGCATCTGCAATGACACGAGTCACTCGAAGGTGCTGAAGAACAAAGCACTTTTGTTTATCCTGTCCTGCCTCAGCACTTGTTGCTACGTTTATCTGCCAGCTCTGCTCTCCTCCTCAGTGCAGCCAGTTCTGAGGGTCACAGTACGAGCTGCTGGGTTCAACTGCAGCTCTGTGTCACACAAGGCAAATGGAGGGTGAGTTTTCTTCCTTCCTGCAGCCTCACAGGATCCCCTTATCACCCCAATACCCCAAAAGAAGGTCATGGCTGATCTGGCAGCAAAAGGTATGCCATGTTGTATAGCATCTTAACAAGCCATCATGGGCTCACATAAAAGCCTACATTTCAGGCTTTTTAAAAAGAATCCAGTCCATTACAGTGTGTTTCTAGGCTACCCTAATGCTGTCTTTTTTTGGGGAAACCGAAATCCTTACTTGAAAAACTTCATTTATCTTCATTCAGAAGATTCACAGGTGCTGAAGATTAATTTGATGCATCCAGCAAAAGAACCACTTAGAAACCTCCTGGCCCCCTTTTTCTCCAGAAATTTCCTTCTTTTTTCACAACCCATTAATCTAACAAAACCCCCTCAGATGTATTTTTGTCAGGTCACTACAGAGGACACATAACACCAGTACAACAAGAGCAAAGTTCATCTTTAAGGAGTGTAATGTTGGGTGTCTTACACTGCAAGAGCTCCTCTCTGGGTTTCTTCAGGAAGCTGTCGATCAGCTCTTTAGCAGCACCAGCAGCAGCTGTGGTGGCTGGTGTGGTGGTTGGTGCTGTGTCAACAGAAGAACAGAGAGTCTGGCCAGCTGGGAAGAGACCTCACATGTTTAACACCCCATCACAGACACACTCAGGCTGGAGCTGATCTGGTTTAGCCTCCTGCTCCATGCAGGGTTAACTTCAATATTAGCTCACGCTGTTCACTGTCATGGCAAGTTTTGAAAATCCCACTCTCTGGACAACTTCTCTCAGTGTTTGATTGCTCCCACAGTGGCCAGTAGAAGCTGAACTTTTGTTCAATACACCAACACTAATGACCATCTTATTATTTTAAGAGCAATCAATGAAAATTAGAATACGCATGATGAAAGTTTGGACTCACCAACTTTAGCAGCTTTCTTTTTCTCTTCTGGAGGGGGGAAAAGAAAAAAGTAAACTGTGAGTTCTACTGGGAGGCAAAAGCCACTGGTTAAGACTGTGTCAGCTGTAATACCATCACCACGGCTCTTCTGAAACTGCAGCAGTAAAGAGCTGACAGTCCAGCAGGCTGAAGCCATGTACAGATACCCTCACACTGGAAAGCTGCACATCAAGCACAGCCTTCCATTTGCTTCCTATTTCACAGGGTCATAAGCCTGGAAGGAGCTTGATCTCCCCTCCAGGAGCAGTGTGTTCAGGCACGTGGAATGCTCCTGTTCCCATGAGGAACACTGACTATTCCTTTCCTCTTTACAGCAGAGCTTTCAGTGCAGCAGCAGGAGCTGCAGCTCCACTCCATCCTGCTTCCCCAGCACAGCCCCTGACTGCTCCACACCCAGCACTTGGACCATGTGTCAAGAGCTCCCTGGACGTAACAGAAGCTGTTTCTTAGCACTTACATTTAGTTCAAAAAGAAAACATGGAAGATCATCCAAACAGGCTACAGTGCCCATTAATTCTGGTATCTGGACAAAACAGAACTGGAAGGGCCCAGTATAACCTGCCACAAAGACCATCACCCCAGCCCTAGACTGGAGGCAGCAAAATGTTTGAGTAAGGCTCCTCTAATCAACACTTACTGGTGGTATCTGTCACCCCCTGGGGAATGGTTTTCTCTTTGTGGGTCTGGTCTGTGAGGGAGGAAGAAAGCAATCAGAACATGAACAGAACTCAACTAAGCAGAACTCTACACATACGAATCTATCAAAGAAACCAAAAGGTGTTTGGCATAAATTAACAAAACCTGCACCAACAAGAGGGTGGGGAGGCTCTGCTTTGCTTTACACTGACACCACTACAGGCTGATGCACCCGTGTACCTGTGCATTCCCCATCCAGCTCACAAGGCATGCATCCCCAAGTACCACAAAGCACCCTCCCTTCCCTGTGCCCAGGTGCTCACTGCAGGTCACCACTGCAGCACCACCACAGCAAACAGCTCTTGGCTAACTGTCTCAACTCTTATTTAACAGCAAAGCCATAGCTAGGAGAGGATGGTGTTCTGTAGTACTTACGTGGTCCAGGAGGCTTTTTCCCAACAGCTTTGTTTGGATGAGCTGCTACAGGGGCCTTAATTTTCACAGGTTTGGCTGCAATGGTGATAATTTACATTATGGTTTGTATGGCCAGGAACATGCATTAGTGAGGACATTTTGCCATCTTCTCCATCCTTCCTGCCTTATGGCAGGCAGAGTCCTGCTACTCTAAAGACTTTCAAATCTCCCCTCAAATCCACATCCTAACCACATCCACCCCTGCTACACAGTAACACCATAAATTACTGCAAGGAAGAAAGGCTGAGCTGTGCCAGAAGGGTGCAGTATCATGATACTCATCAGCTTATCCAAGCATAGATAACAGCAAAGAAACACTGGCACGTTTTGTCTCCCAATTTAGCCCAGACTGTAATGTTTTTGTGTGGAAATGGAACACTGCAGAGATTGGAAGGCACAGTTTATATTAACCAACTGTATTTGTTGCATTTTTTTAAAAAATTGTATTTGTATTGGAAAGATCCCTCATTTCAGCCCAAAGCAAAAGCAGAAAATGCCAATTTCCCCAGTGATACAGTACCTTCTTCTTTTTTCTCCCGACTCTGATCGACTGAAATTTTCACTATGTCTTTGAGGGTAATGGCAGACTGGTAAGTGGAATGCATCACGTTTTGGTCCATTTCAACTACGGGAACAAAAGCCTCTTTTGTTGATGTTCGTTGCAGTGCTGCTGCTCTCTGAAACAACAAATGAGAGACCACCTTGTGTAGCACACAGAGAAAAATACAACCAGCTTACTTTTAACTGGGATGCAGTTTGTGCTTTCATCTCAAATTCAAGGGAACAAAGGCCACAGTCAGACACAGCTCGTGGCAAAATTCCAGCAGCAGCTCAGACACCTTAATTCCCACTGGTAACCCATGAGCAGCCATGTCACAGCACAGAGCTGCCACACCTCAGGGAGGTGACTCCTGCCCAGAGACCCCTCCCTGCTTGTGGCAGAGGCAGAGGCTGAACTGGGAGAGTCACCCATTCAGCATTCTTTCACTAATATTTGTGTACTTTTTAGGACATCCTTTGACAGCAGGTTCTTGCACACCACTGCATTTCCATTTGACTGGAAGTGTCTAGAGAGTATGATGACCACAGCAGGTTTTTGTTATTCTGCATTCTAGAATGAAGAACTGGATTCACACTTAAATGACACATTACCTTCAAAAACAGAACATCATCAATTTCAGTCAGTGCCATCTCAATCTGATCTTTGAGAGACTGAATTTCATTCTTCTTATTTCCCAGAACACTGTAAATATAATCAAACTTATTCCAAACTCTCTTTTCTTCCTCTGTAATTGCTTTCATGATCTCATTTTCTCTTTCTTCAATTACAGCTTTAACTTCTGAAAACTCATTTCTGATCAATTCCTTCTTTCTTGAAGCTGTCTCCTGGGGCAGACAAGAGCAGATAGGTATTGATTTCAAAAGAACAGTTTGTAAACAAAATACTCTAAGTGCTACTGCATGAAAGCCTCTGAGGAACATGTGGGCTTCTCTTCCTTGAAACAAGCAAGAGCAGAGCTGTTGATTTCTATGTGGTTTGGAAAGAAAATTCCTTCACTCACAAGGAATGGAGCCCATTCTCAGTCTCACCCCACGGGAGAGTATAAAACCTAGCACAGTGCCAGGTTTACTCCCATCTCCCACAGAGCTGTCTGGCCCTGCCAAAACTCCTCTTTTCTGTTCTTTCCTAGTAACACCTTCTCCTGCCAATGCAGCCTCAGCACTACAGCCCTGTCACAAGGGTACAATCACTAACACCATGCAGTGGCCAGTGGGTGCCTGGCAACCTGAGAGCACTCTGAGCAGCTCCCCACTTACAGCAGACTGGCTCTGTTTTGTTTTCACCGTGCTCATTGCCCGGGCAGTTCTTTCACTCTGGTTATGCAGCTCCGTAAGTTTTTTCTTCAGCAGCGACTGCAACGGGAGAGACCAGAACATATTTCAGAGAGGCAGTTGTCATGTCTGCTCTTACTTTTAAATACTCTTGTAAGCATTTAGTACTCTCAGCTTAAAACCTACCTCCCCTTGAAGCTCAGGGGGTGTAAAAGCACCGTCCTGCACACGTGTGGCTTGTGGCATCCACACCCTCCCCACCTCTCCCAAGAGCAAGATGCCATTGCTGACACTCTCCTCACAAAGGACCCAGTGCTTTCATCAGCACAGTTCTCATGCTACCAATAAACGTTACATTAACTCTCAGTTTGGACTTCCAGCACAGTTGATGCTACTGATCACCCTACTCCTTTTGAGAACGTTCTCCCTCAGATGTGATTTACCTGTTCCTTTAGTTCAAGATTCTGCTAAGCTCAATCAGGGCTAAGTTCTGCAGCTAAGCTGTATACACACCCATGAACAGATGGGAGTTTGACCACCTAAACTTTTTCAGCATACTTGACTCATCCACACTGATTTTCAGCTGTGCTGAAAATAGAAAGGCCAGGTTTCCTTCCCTTCTACTCCATGACCCTCCTTCTGCCTTTCATCTACATACTTGAGATCTCCCTAGGATACTTTTATAATTCTTCTTCTTAGGAACATCTGCAGCAGAATGCCGGCCCCTCAGGCAGGAGAAGCCTGGCAGGGAGCAGAGGAGGCTCAGAGCTCTGGGTGACGCCACAGAGCGTGGGAGGCCTCACTGGAGAGCCCAGCCCAGGACAGCCCAGCCCTGCCACTGCAGCTCCTGACAGCGCCTTCCCAGACCCCTGCTCTTGAGCAACATCTTGGAGAGACGGGGAAAACGCAAGGAATGGCTCTGGGGACGTGCCTGAGCACATGCTGGAGGGCAGATAACAGTTCAGCACTGCCAGACACGAGATTTACAATTTACAGTCGACGTCCTGTTCCGGCCTCCTGCCTGCACTCCAGAGCAGCTCCTCCAGCACCGAGGGACCAAGGGGCGCCCTGGGGAGCCCTTGGGGGTGGGTGTTCGAGCCCTTGGGAGGGTGTTCCAGCCCCAGTGAGCCCTTGGGAGAGTGTTCCAGCCCCGGGAAGCCCTTGGGAGGGTGTTCCAGCCCTTGGGAGGGTGTTCAAGCCCCGGGGAACCCTTGGGAAGGTGTTCCAGCCCCGGAGTACGCCTGAGAGTGTGTTCCAGCCCCAGGGTACCCTTGGGAGGGTGTTCCAGCCCCGGGGTACCCCTGGGAGGGTGTTCCAGCCCCGGGAAGCCCTTGGGAGGGTGTTACAGCCCCGGGGAGCCCTTGGGAGGGTGTTACAGCCCCGGGGAGCCCCTGGGAGGGTGTTCCAGCCCCGGGGAACCCTTGGGAGGGTGTTCCAGCCCCGGGGAGCCCTTGGGAGGGTGTTCCAGCCCCGGCGGCCACCGGTCACCCCAGCTCAGCCCCGGCTGCTCACCTGGGCAGAGGCCTTTGCCTGCTCCAGGGGGCTGGTGGGGCACAGCTTGTGCTCGAGCAGGCAGAGGGAGCAGATGCAGGCGCCGTGCTTGCTGCAGAAGAACTCGAAGAGCCTGTTGTGCTGGGGGCACTTGCGCAGCTGCAGGTCGCGCAGGGGCGGGCAGAGCTGGTGGTCGCGGAAGGCCGGGCTGTCGCGGTGCGGCCGCAGGTGCTCGGCGCAGAAGGACGCGGTGCAGGTCAGGCAGGTCTGCACGGCCGGCGCCTCCCGGCAGCTGTCGCAGGGCACGGGGGGCTCCGCCGCGCAGCACCCCCCCACATCCCCATCCTCATCCTCCTCCTCCTCCTCGCCCTTGGCCCCGGAGCGGCCCTGGAGCTGCTCCACCACCCGGCACAGCACCGTGTTCTTCTGCAGCTGCGGGCGGCCCGCGAAGGTGGCGCGGCACTGCGGGCAGCTGAAGCCCCCCGAGAGGCCGGCCCAGCTGAGCTCCAGGCAGGAGGCGCAGAAGTTGTGCCCGCAGGGCACCGTCACGGGGCTGCTGAAGAGGCAGAGGCAGATGGAGCAGGTGAGCTCCTCCTCCAGCCCCGACAGGCCCGGCTCCGACTCCAGCGCCGCCATCGCCCCGTCCGCAGCTGCCCCGAGAACCCGAAACAAACCTGGCCTCGGAGAAACGAAACTGTGGCCCGGGCTTTCCGGAAAACTACGTGTCTCATCCCCGCCCCGACGGGAGGGGCAGCGGCCGGGGGACGAGCCCTGCGGCGCCCGCCCCTGAGGGGAGCCGGGCAGCGCCGGCGTGCCGGGGCTCTGCCAGGAGCGGGACCCCGGAGCGGGCCGGGCCGCGGCTCCGGGCCGGGGCAGCGGCACCCGGAGTGCCCGAGGCGTCACCCGGAGGTGCCCGAGGCGTCACCCGGAGTGCCCGAGGCCTCGGGGTCGGTTCTGAAGCGGTGCCCAGCCGCGCTGCCCGCCCCGCTCCCGGCCAGCCCAGCGCTGTCCGGCTGTGCCCGGGGCTCAGGGCGGGGGCGAACCCCAAATCCCCCCGAGCACCGCCCCAGCCGCTCCCAGCTGCGGGTAACCTGGAGCTGGAGATCCTACGGACTCATAGGTTTGGGCTGGAAAGGACCTTAAAAATCGTCTGTTTGCGACAGCTGAGGGATGTTTTTAAAGCACACAGGTTACTGCTTTGTGATTGTGGAAACCATCGCAACAGAAGATGCTTCCTCAAATTTCTTGTTCTCAGTCTAACTGTTCAATAATCACTGTTTCTAACAGGGACATTGATGCTGAACAGCACCATGGCAAGTACTCATGTCTTAACTTGACCACAAATCGTTCCAGTGGTCTCTTCCTCCTCGCTCTTCTGCCCTGCCTGCTGGTGTCCCAGGAACTTCCTTGGCGCCCGCTGTATTTCTGCACCCATGCTGGCAGCAGGGATAAAAGGAGCAGCCTGGCACAAAGTCTGTGGTCCCCCAATAATTTAAACAGAACCTGATGGGCTGCAACAGCAGGAGCCGTGTGCTCTGAACTCTTGTCCAGTGGGCAAAGAACACCTTGTGTGGAGAACTGCTGAGGTTCCCTTTAATGTCATTTTAAAGTATTAGCAGGTGATCTTGTTGGCATTAGTCCTTGGGGACTTCCAAGAATGTTTAGGAGTTACACAGAATCACAGAATGAACTAGGTTGAAAAAGACCTTTAAGATCATCTAGTCCAACCTATGACCTAAACCAACATCTCCTCAACTAAACCATGGCACTGCCTGCCACATCTAGCCTGTTTTTTAAACTACAGGGATGGTGATTCCACCACCTCACTGGGCAGACAATTCCAGCACCCAACCACTCTTTCAGTGAAGAATTTCTTTCTAGCATCTACCCAAAACTTGCCTTGGCACATCTTAGGATTGTGTCCTCTCAGTCTGTCAGTTGCTGGCTGGGAGACCAACCCCACCTGGCCACAGGCACCTTTCAGAGAGTGATAAGGTCACCCCTGAGTCTCCTTTTCTCCAGGCTGAACACCCCCAGCTCCCTCAGCCATTCCTCACAGCCCCTCTCTAGCCTCGTTGCCTCCTCTGGACACGCTCAAGCATCTCAACATCCTTCCCAAACTGAGGGGCCAGAGCTGGGCACAGCACTCCAGCTGTGCACTCACCAGTGCTGAGCACAGAAGGATCACCTCCCTGCTCCTGCTGGCCACTGTTCCTGATCCAGGCCAGGGGCTCTTGGCCTTTTTGGCCATCTGGGCACACTGCTGGCTCATGTTCATGCTCATTTTATAAAGCACTCAAAAGAAGCCATGTTGGGTGGTCTGTTACAAGTGCAATCAGCTCCTGGCCAGTTCTTTTGGACTATTAAATTAAATCTGGAGAATCATTGTGAAGCTATGTTGAGCAATCACTGTGCAAACAATTACAAGTGCAAACTCCTGGCCAGTTCTTTTGGACTATTGAATTAAATCTGGAGAATCATTGTGAAGCTATGTTGCACAGATACCATGAACTTGTACCTACATCAGTTATCCCTCCAGCCTTTTAACACTCCTTCAGGATAAGCTGTAGAGGGGTTGTGTGCCACAGGGCTCTGAGTCACTGCTCAGGAACAGATACAGGTGCAGAAAGGACAATGCAGGCATTTGGGGCTGCAGGGCTGTGACAGGAGGAAAAGTTCAGGGATCAGCTCTGTCATGTGCTGGAGGGTGGAGGAGTTTCTAGGAGATGGGCACTGTGCCACAGGTTTACAGCGTGGCTGGGATGTGCTGTGCAGGACTTTGTAACTGCTGGCAGAGGAAATGCAAACACCTGGCAGGGGGTGGCTGATAGTGGCTGCAAAGGAACACGCAGAGAGCTGTGCTGTGCATGAGATGGGACAAAAGAGCAGCTGTTAATGTTTGCATTTTTTATTTTTCCATAGGTGAACGAACACCCTGGGCTTATCTGGACTAAGCCTCTGCCATCTTTCAAAGACTCAGCACGTTCACTGTATTCTTCTGTGGCACTCATGTGGTATCAAGTGATATAGACAAAGGTATGCAAATAAAAAGGGTAAATATAAACCCTCACAATTGTAGCTTCTGCTTCTGGAGCATAGCACAGGATGTTTAGAGCTCAGATGAGCAATTTAAGTTCCACAGTGTCAACAAGGGCTTGAAATTCTCATTTGGAGGAAACCCAACCACTTCTGCTGTCTATGAAACAATAAAGTTTTAACATAAAAAATTACTGCTACCATTTAAATAGCTACTTAAGTTATACTCAATTTTGCTTGCAAATACTTGAGAACTTCCTGTGATTCTGAACTAAATCTAACCCTTTGCCCAGACACTGCACATTCAAGATGCCCCCAGAGCCCAAGCAGGGCTTTAGAAGCACAGTGGGATTAATTGTACCCCACATTCCTGCCCCCAGTAAAGGGGCTGGAGAGAGATGGGAGAGCCCCAGGGACAGCAAGGCAGCAGTGAGGGTTTGTTCACCACCTCCTTGTGGGATTCATGTGCACACTGTCCCATCCCAGATTCCTCAGAGCAGGAGTGGATGGGACAGGGAGGGCTCTGGGCAGTTCCCTCAGGCTGCCTGTCCCCCTTGGTCTGATTTGAATGAGCAAAGCAGTAGCTTCATGCAAACTTGGTAACAATGGGTAAACAAAACTCAAGATTTTACCTTCAAAACACCCTCTCTCAGGGGTGTATTTGTCTTCCAGCATCTCCTGTTTGGCACAGCCAGAATGACTCTGCATCATTGAATTCATGCCAAAAATGCAGAGTAGGCAATGGAACAAGAAACACTTGCATTTAGCTTTTGCAACTTCCTAAGAATTAACAATTTCCCTTAGGAAAACAATCCTTCCATTAATCCCCATTGTCTGAGCATGACTGTGCTCATGTCTGGCATCTTCTTTTCATCCAGTTTGCAAGAACAGCCACATGAATCTAACTGAACTTTTCTCTAAAAAAGCAAATCCTAGCATGAAATACTGGTATTTGAAGTGAACCAAAACACAGATTAATTTTACTTGTATAAAAACAATTCCTTCACAAACAAGACATTTTACTAGGGCTGACACAAAAATGCACAGTACTTTAATGGATTAATGCACTAGGTCAGAGTACATGACAGCTAAATCATAATGTACAAATTTTCAGGTGTTTGTTTGTATCTAGGGTTTGTTTTTTCCCATGTCTTCTCTGTAGGAGTCAACTATCTAGCACAGGGATTATCTGAAAGTGTAAGACTTGCCAAGACTCCCGAGGTACAAAGTACCCCTTCAATGCTCATAATTACCAGAGCTGTCAGTGCAGTGCCTTGCCAGCACCTGGTGACCCATTCTGCTGCTGGAAAGGGAAGAAGAAAGGCAGCACAGAAACTTCAGCACTTAAAGGGCAAGGTGGTTTGCTCTAAAACCAACAATAAAGGCTTTCAGAGCCTACATGGATTAACACAGTGGGACACAATTGTGCCAGGGGTTCATGTTATATTCCACTGGTTCTAAGCACAGTTGACAGTTACCAGTGCTATTTATCTGCCACAAAATCACAGAAGCTTGACATCCACAGGTTTTCTGAATATGTTTCAGTGAACTCTTTAAGTAACTGCAAAGTCACAGCATTTGTATGCTGTGGCAGAAGCAGAGGGACAGTCTGCATATCAACAATATTTATAATAAAATTTTAAATAAAAATGACCTCTGGCAGTTATACAGCTCTAGCCAAACCCAGACATTTAAACAGTTACTCACAGTATAGGGTTGTGTTTTATCTTTTAATCAAACTATTCCAGTTCTGCAGCTTGCTACAGTAGGATATAAATATTCAAACCAAACAGATCTATATTAGATTTCCTATAATAAACAAAGTTTTCATGTATTACATAAAAACATAGCCTAAGGGGAAAAATAAAGAAGTAGGCCAAAAGAAAAACAGTTAAGACAGTAACGTCCACCAGTGCACCTGCCACCCTCAGAACCAGAAGGCAGCATTTCACAGAACAGATCTGTACAATTGTTCACATCTTCTCACATCCTAGATGTTCCATTTTCAATGCTGGATCCATTAACTGGAGGCTCCACAATCAGTCTTGGCTCTATCAGCGCATCCCAGCTTTCAGTTATCTGAAAACAAACCACAGGCAGCACTTGGCAGGGGCCAGCAGCACCAGCAGATGCAATTTCTGTGCTGTTATGCTTTTGCCTAGACCTGAACAATGGCACCACTGAACTGAGATCACAGCTCCTCCTGTGGGGCACTGATCCTACTGGTGAGCCTCAACCTGCCAGATATCCTGGGTAGGAAAGGGTGCACAACAACAGCAATGAAAGGAAAAGCTGGTGAGAAAGGATCTCTATGAGATGTGATGTTGTTTATTAGCCAAAACAAGAACTTTGATGAGTGACTGTGACCCCAGTTAAATGAGTACCAAGAACTGATTATTATGATGTAAACATGCACATTGTTGCTAGAAAGAAACAATGGTTTTTGCTTCCATCGATTCAAATCACAAAGGGAACATCCCTGAGGTGAAGAGAGGCAGGGAGCAGGGCAAGGGGCAGCTGTGCAGAGCTGCTGGCAGGACTCAGGGCAGGCCCCACGTACCTTGGTGTCCTGCGGCACCGCGTACTCGATCAGCTCCGCTCCGTCTGCAGACTGGTACACCAGGTCGAACTTCCCTGGCTCCTTGGCAGCTGAAAACCACACAAACAGCTCAACCAGCTACAAACCAAAGAAACTGAAATGTTTACCACAAAAGCCGGCCAAAATCAGTTTGGTTTGGGGGTTTGATTTGTTGGGTTTTTCCTTTGTGCTCAGTGTCCGGGTTCACAATTGTAACAAAACCTTGAGGAAAAACTGAATACTACACACCAAAATTAAGGTAATTATCTGACTACTCACATGAGAAAGTCAACAATATGTTGCTGAAATTTGAGAAAAAGGCTCATATGACAATTCACTAATTCTGGCTTAAATGGCAACTGCAAGATACACAGTTTAAAAAACATTAAACATTTCAGGTCTCAGGAACTGCATCTTGTCCTTGCAGGGACTCACTTCCACACCCACTGAAGATACACCATTATGACCTCACACTTTCTCTCAAAATAATAATATAAAATATTTTCTTTCTTTCTGAAATAATTTCTTTCAGAAAATGAAACCACAGTAGAGGTGAGTTACTGACCACTCAAGCTACTGAAAAAAAATACGTTGTAAATACCCATAAGCATCCTTCAGCTCAACTAGCAAGGGTTAGAACTTGTTAGAACTTCTCAATTTAAATAGATTTTTGGGGAAGGAATGAGGAGGGGAGGGGCGTGTTGAAAATGATCCCAAGGAAATTGGGAATACTCCTGAAAGATGAAGTGTCCCCAGGTACGTACATTGTCCTGCTGATGTCGAAAGGATCTCAAGTTCAATCTGCTTTTTTTCATCATTCCAACTGAGTATTTTTGCCTCCTTCACAAAGCAACAAGAAAAGAATCAGGTAAGACACACTTCAGCACTGGTTAAGTATTCCATATTTACAACCAGTGCACTACTTGATTGCTGACAGAGGAAATAAGTATATTTGGCTATCAAATTTTCTAGTCTCCATGTATAAAATCTGCAAAGAATGAATGCTCAGCAATCTGTAACTACTGGCATCAATAAACCAGTTACTCATTGTCACTAACTTTGCAGTTTAAATCAGTACTTACCCAGAAACCAAGTTATCTGAAGCAGCAACAAAATTTTACTTGCACCAGTTTTAAGAACTTGCCCTAACTTCCAATAGCAGTAGACTCAAATACAGCTACATTCTTCTACTTGAGGACCTGCATTTTTTGTCATCTCTAAAATATTGATGATTATTAATAATCCTTGTAGTTGTTGGTTTGTTGTTTTGTTTGTTTTGGTTTGTTTTTTTTAGTAACAGCTACATCTTTCAAATTTTCAATTAGTTTCAGCTTCTAGAGTTTTGATTTTTACTGCTGCACCAGGAATAGCCTATGAAGTCAATTGGACACAAGGTAAAACACTGCACAGCATAAAATATTTACACCATACCCCACCTATCATCATAGTTCTGTGAGTGAATGAAGGGAGGAAAGAAAACCAGTACCTTATAGTCTGAAACTTCAGGACTGTAATTTTCAGTTAGTTCCAGGCGCTGTTGAAAGAAATACAAGTAACAAATTGTAACTTTTCCCAATCTTTGATGATTCCACCTACATCCAGACAGTTTCTTCAGCAACAGAAAAGTGCAAGAGCCAAGTCTCCAACTCCTGGAGCCCAATGTTAATCATGGTCCCAGGTAGACCTCCAGGACTTGCTGCTCCAAAGGATTTACGTTCAGGTCAGGCTGTGTGAGGAGATCAGGGAGATGGATCCCAGTCTCCTCAGCTGCAGGGATTTCATTTACTTTTTTATTTTGCAGTGCAGTGTAATTATTTGTATTGTAAGATTTGCAATAACATTTACATGGAAAATTGCATTGAAATGGCAGCAGAGACAGCATTTCTAGTGTTCTACAATTACAGAAAGTCTAAAGAAATGCACTTAACTTCTGTATATGCTCCAAACTTTGACAAAAATCAAAGCCAGGCTTTACAACTTTACAACTTTACAAGTGAATATTTCAGAGAAACTGTTAGGTCAGAAACTTAGGAGTGGCCCAAATGAAGTAATCTTAACCGACTCCCAAATGAAGCAATCTTAACCTACTAACATTCAGCATTTCCAGAGTTTACCTTAAAGGCAATTCTTTCTCCCACTTGGGGTGGAGCAGCTAGAAGAGGTAACACACTATAGTCTCTCTTGGGAATCTCCACCGGATTCTGTGAAACAAAGAGTAACCCACTGATTTAATTACTGTATCAGTGAAAACAGAAGACAATGTTCATGCTGTATGAGTTGCAGGAATCACTGAGAAGAGCAAGGTACATGCTTTTAGATATAGAATACAATAACTTTATTGTTGTTTCATAAACACATCCTCAGGCTGACAAACGGAATTACAGTAAATAAAAGCTCAGCCTTTATCCCACTCATCTATTTCTGCAGTTATTCTGCTGAATTACTCTCATCCTGTAGGTTCTTTGTACAGTTCAAGCTGCCAGAGAAAGGTGACCTCTGCCTGTGTGAGTCACTCACCTGGACAAGGACAGAAGTGTTTGTTGCAGCTTCATTTAACTGCCTCTGTTTCTGGCCTTCACTGCTGTAGTTATAGAAGAAGCCAGGGTTTGCTCCTCTCCCATGGCCCCTCATCATCCCACGAAACCCTCGGCCCCTAGGTGCTCTCCAGAAGTTCTCCTCTCCTGTTCCACGCCCCCTTCCACGGCTGGGGCTGGCAAACGCTCCTGGGGCACTGGCTGGCACCTGTTTAGTGCAGCTCCTCACTATGGAATTACCCAGTCCAGCACCTGCTGCCGATTTTTTAATGACAAGTGTGTCTGAATCTGAACTATCAGAGTCTGAAGAGGAGCTCTGTGCTTTGGGAGCCTTGGTGCTGGCTTTTACAGCCACCACATGGTTTGGCACTGATTTTTCCTTTGCAGTGCTGTCTTGTGCTGGTGTCACCTTCTCCTCCTCTGTACTCGAGTCAGAATCTGAACTAGATGACTGGGGTTTTTTAGCATTTTTACTAATTGCAGTCTTAGTCTTTTCAGTGTTAGACTTTACAGTCACTTTATTAGTTTTCACATCAGAATCTGAAGCAGCTTGGGATTTGTCTTTGGGAAGTGTCACCACTACAGGTTTATGGGAAGATTTATTTTCCTTTACATTTAATTCACTGCTGTCACTGTCAGACGATGTGCTGGAGGAATCTGAAGCTCCCACCCTCTTTTTCCTGGACTGTGTTGTGGTCTTTTTGGTGCTATTTTTACCAGAATTCAGAGACAAGCTCTCATTTGCCCGTTCTAAAGCCATCTTTGCTGCAGCAACCTTTGTCTGATTTTCATCCTTCTTTTTTGTTGCCAACTGCTTCTCCCTCTCTGTTTTTTTCATCTTTTTAGAATGGGAAGTAGAGGTCTCTTCCTTACCTTCTGTGAGTCTATTTCTTCCCCTAACTTCTTCCTTTCTTTTTCTTTTCGTGTACCTTTTCTGAGAGTCCCAAGTATCTAGAGAGGTCTCTTCCCTACAAGAGGAATACTCAAGGTTATGCTTCTCCTTCTTCTTTTTCCTTTTATGCTTGCCTTCATTCCTAGACAATTCTTCCTCATCCTCCTTCTGTCTGTGCCTTTTTTTGTCTTCTTTTGTTGTGTAAATAAAGCCATCATCTATCTCTTCATAATCATCTGCAACTACTTCTTCCAACTTTACTCTGTTAAAAAAAACCAAAACAAAAGCCACCATTCAGCATAATGAACACTTTTCCCCAAATGTGAGCAGCTCAGGCAAGTTCCCCTAGAGTGAAGATGCTCCAGCTCCTCCCTGGACAGTCTGGATCCTCCCCTGCAGGCAGAGGCTCCCGTTCCATCTTGGGGAACATTTCCAACTCTTGGCTCCCTCCATCCCTCTGGACATGCTGGGGAGTCTCAGGTGCTGGGAGTCAGTGCCCGTGGGCACCCAGCTCCTGCTGCACTGCCCAGGGAAGGAAGAGCTCAGAGCCTGGGGAGCCCCACCCCTGTCCCACCAAAACCACGCCGAGATTCAGAGAATCCCAGAGTGGGTCAGGAAGGGACCACAGTGGGGTCAGCTGGTCGCATTTCCCTGCCTAACAAGGGTTATCCCAGGGCACAGGGTTGTGTCCAGAGGGCTCTGGAATATCCCCAGTCAGGGAAACTCCGCATCTTGTCTGTCCCAGCGCACGGGCCCTGCACCTCAGGGTGAGAAACAATTTCATCGGTAACACCATGGTGAGGGAAACTCCGCTGTCTCAGCGCACCTCAGGGCCCTGCACCTCAGGGTGAGAAACAATTTCATCGGTAACACCATGGTCAGGCGCAACTTCCTGGGCATCGGCTCCTGCCCGCTCCTGTCCCACGGCTGGGCACAACCCGCTCCGGCCTCTTGGCACGGCCTTCAGATACCGACAGACACCCATGGGTGCGTGTGCGGGAATGACCCCCGATCCCGCTGTGCCTTCTGTCCCACGGCTGGGCACCAACCCGCTCCGGCCTCTTGGCACGGCCTTCAGATACCGACAGACACCCATGGGTGCGTGTGCGGGAATGACCCCCGATCCCGCTGTCCCGGTCCTGCAGTCCTGATCCCGGTCCGGATCCCACCCTCTCTGTCCGATCCCGCTGTCCCGGTTCCTATCCCGATCCTGCTGTCCCCCGGTCCCTATCCCCATCCCGCTGTCCCGGTCCCGATCCCACTGTCCCTATCCCGCTGTCCCCATCCCGGTCCCAGTCCCGCTGTCCCGATCCCGCTGTCCCGGTCCCGGTCCCTACCGCAGCGAGTCGTTGTCCCGCACGAGGCGCGCGCTCTCGGCGGGCGGCAGCAGCGCCCCCTCGAGGAAGAGGCTGAGGCGGGCGCGGCGGCTGAAGCCGAAGCGATGGCGGATGAGGCTGAGCAGGTCGGTGACGAGCCGCGCCTGGCCCGGCTCCAGCAGCAGCCAGCACAGCGCGCAGCCCGGGCTGGCCGGCGGAGGGTGGTCGAACACCAGCCGCAGCCGCACCGGGCCGCCGCCGGCCGCCATCACGGACACGGAGGAGGAGGCGGAGGAAGAGGCGGAGGAGGCGGGCGCGGGGGGCGGCGCCTCAGGGCGGCCCGGCCGGTCCCGTGACCGCGGGAGCTGAGGGAGCGATGGGGGTGCTCCGGGCTGCGACCGCGCTGTCCGCGCTGCTGCTGGCCGCAGGTACGGGCCGGGATGGGGACAGGACGGGCCGGGCCGGGCCGGGCCGGGAGGGGGATAGGACGGGTCGGGCCGGGACGGGAGCGGCTCGGCTCGGCTCGGCTCGGCTCGGCTCGGCGCGGCGCGGCGCGGCACCTCCGGGCACGGCGCCTCCGGGCACGGCACTCCTGTGTCCCGCAGCTGCAGGGCCCGTGCTGAGCCGCACGAAATTGGCGGTGGCGAAGGACGGAGAGGGTAGCGGCAGTGCCGGCGGGAGCAGCAAAGCCTGGCCACCGTGGCCGTGGAAAAGCCTTATTGCTCCTGTGCACTGTTGCCTTCTGCCCTGATCCCTGAGATTAAGGGATGGAGTGTCAAAGGTCTGTTCCGTGTGCGAGATGAACAGTAGATTGACTGCGTAAGGTGACCAGACTTTATTGACTTCAGTTATGTTTTGGATTCCTTCGGAAGCGACCCTGTGTCTGCATGTGCTCTCCGTGGGGACTGTGGGGTGGTGCGGTCCCCGCACACACCCGGCTCAACGCGCTGCCATCAGTTCGGCTGCTCGGGTCAGGGAGCCAAGAGCTCCGAAGCCGCGGGTTCGATCCCCGCTAAGCCATTGGACTCGATCTTTTTAGGTCCCTTTCAACTCAGAATATTCTGTGATCCTTGTCGAAATTGCAGCTGGCTATGGGAGTTATTTCACTGGGGCTGTGCCTTCAGCCCAGGCCTTGAAAACACTTCAAGAACAAATTATTCCAGCAATTGGGCAGTTATTCTGGCGGCAGCTCTAAAGGCAGGCTCTGATAAGGCAGCACTTAATTACACACTTCATTCATTGACAATAACTCAGTTGTGGGTGGGGGTGCAAGTATAGGCAGGTTTCTTATAGTAATTTCTTTTAATAGTAGTAGCACTTCTAATTATCACAGCCAAGACTGAAATGTAATGTTTTGGAGCAATTCTGGTGGAAAGTCCAAAGCTGAGTCTTTTTACCTAGTTGCTTATTCTTGTTATTTCCCCTCAAGGTGTAGTTCTGAGGCAGCCCCAGGAGCCCAAAGAGGTGTGGGGATATGTGGAGGTTCGGAACAAGGCCCACATGTTCTGGTGGCTCTACTATGCAAATAACCCAACCAAAGACTTCACAGAGTTACCTCTTGTCTTGTGGCTTCAGGTAAGGTTTGGTGAGAGACACCTAAGCAATAATTCTTTCCATCTGTGGCTGGTTCAGTCTGATATCTGATATTGTGCAGCTCTACAGAAACAGAATTTAAAACTGCCTTGTTCTAAATGCCTTGTCTTGTGAATGTGGTGTTGGGGTTGGGAAAAATAAGGGTGATTTCATTCTGCAGTTGTGGGGTGTCCTCAAGTGCTCACCCTGCATCAAGTTTGATTGCAATAACAGAGGTTGTTCTTATCTTCATACAACAGTAGTGATTTTTGTGCATTGCAATTTCCCAGCTCCTTCCCTGGAGAGTTTGAAGTCTAAACAGTGTTCAGAGAGAATAAATAAAATAATCAGAGATTGAGGTTGATTTCTAAATGGAAAGAATCCTGGTTTGATAAAAGTGGTGGCATGTTCTCCACAGTACATTTCAGAAGTTAATGTTGAATAGAATCACTTAAGAACTTGTTCTTATTCTTTCTGGGTTATTTCATCAGTGTGAAACCCACAAGCTGTACATGCTGATCAAGCCAATGACTTGCAAAATCCCAGTTAGCAGAGAGTTAACTTTTGCACTCCATATTTGGGGAATAAGGTTTTGCAATTGTGCTCGTATAGCAGGCAGCTCACCAGAAGCTCTCATGAGAGGGTGATGCATTTCTGTTGAATTCTTGCTTTCAGAAATGTGTGTGCATAGCCCGAGACCACGGGGAACAGAGCCTGCTCTGTAAATTAACGTGTAGTGCAAAAGCCATTTCTAAAAATGTACAATCTGGCGTTCTACTTACTGGCTGCTTTTCTTACTGGCTACTTTTGTTCCATCTGTCCTATCTATGCCATGCTGCCTTTCAACATCTGTGTCATTTGATATTTCCCTGCAGGGAGGTCCAGGATCTTCAGGCTGTGGATATGGGAACTTTGAAGAGATTGGTCCATTAGACAAAGAATTGAAACCAAGAAATACAACCTGGGTACAGTAGAGTTCGGCTTCTAACTACTAATTACAAATGTTTGTTTGCTTGTGTAAGCAGATGATCACTACGCAAAAAAACACAGAACAATTTTTCATTTAAAGTTCAGTAGAACTATAATATTTCCAGTTAAAATATTGTGGTTATTAAATTAGCTTATAGGAATAGCCTTGAGAACTGAGGGGTAGACGTTAATTTGATTTAATGAAGTATGTCTATTCCATGGAACTGTGAAATGCACATGTCTGGGAGAGAGCAGGGAAATTGTAGAAAGTGTTCTTGCAGATCACAGCTTCATTGTGTGCAGTCACAGAGCTTTTTCTGGGTGGCTGGCAGTGTAAAACCTATGGCTTATAATTACAGGTCCAGTATGGCCTTCAAGGGAAAACAAATTACAGCTGCCTGTGAAGGTGGAAGTTTAATTAGAGCAATATATTTGTGCTCTGGGTTACCAATAGTCTGAAGTGCTCTGGAGTTCCCTAGGTGACCTCCCTCTGGATCACTGGCAGTTTTTGGGTGTATTTCTCATTACAGATTTGGCAAATTGAAGGACTTTATGTTGCACCTAATTTTTCTGCAAGTTTTTTCAGGGATTTGCTGGCTCAGTTAATCATTTGTGCTATCAAAACTAAGTTTTTTTGCTGGTGCTGAACTGAGGTTTTATACAAACCTTCTTTCTGCTTCTACAGTTGCAGGCAGCCAGTATCTTGTTTGTGGATAATCCTGTGGGCACTGGATTCAGTTATGTGGATGATTGTAGCTTGTTTGCCCAAAACCTTACCACAGTGGTTTCTGATATGATGGTTTTTCTTGGAGAATTCTTCAAGTGTAGAACAGAATTCCAGGTAAGTGAATTGAATTCTTGTTTATTGTTGTATTTTTCTCTGCTTTTAAATAGAATTCAAAAATAATTAGGGAACAGACTTCCAGATGAGCAGTGTTTTGCTGCTAGCTAGTGTGTGGTGCAGGTATAACCACTGTCTCTTCTTTTGCACATTTCAGAAGTTGTATCTTGATTTTGGGCTTGGTGAGATAAGCATTGGGGTGGATTATTGTCTGTTGAGTGATCCAAGCAGCATATATAGGATCACAGCTGCTCATAGTTCCAAAATACTTTAGAACCAACCCCAGCAAGTCACCAGGATGTTATGGAAACCTAGTGTGCAGCTTAAAATAAGAAAAACATTAAATGTTTGATGGTGAGAGGTGAACAGTGCCTGGGTGCTGTGGGATGTGGGAGATGGTTGGAGGTGTCTTCTGCCCTCCATGCAACGAGTTCCTTGTGTGGTTCTTCTCTCCCCAGACCATCCCATTCTACATATTTTCTGAATCTTATGGAGGCAAAATGGCTGCTGGGGTTGCTTTAGAGCTGCACAAGGTAAGTGCTTGGAGGATACAGTTCACTTTTCATTTCAAAAGGGGGGTTTCTACAAGTACTTTTATTTTCTGGAATACACCATCTCTATTTCCTAATTCACAGTGCCACTTACTTTTTTCACTTAAAGAAAACTGATTCTAGAGTCATGAATAGCTAAAATTTAATTTTTTGGTGTTTTGTTTTGTTTTTCCTCTTATTCACGAAGGCTGTTCAAAAAGGGACCATAAAGTGCAATTTTATGGGGACTGCTCTTGGGGACTCCTGGATTTCTCCTTTGGGTATGTTTAAACTCCTCAGACTGTTGATGATTTGTTGTTATTTTGTTTTGTTGGGTGTTGTAATCATTCCATGAGTGCCTGAACTCAAAAAGGCCATCCCTGCCTGAAGTGAATTAACTCTCTAGTGAGTCTGGTAAATCAAAAATAAATACTGCAGCCTTGCAAGTCTTCTTGTGACTAAAGAATCTCTTTTTAGAATGTATCTAGATTAGGAGAAATCAGAGAGCAAAGGCAGCAAGGAGCACACTTGTATCTGAAGTGGAAGGATGGCAAAATGTCCCTGCCCATCTCCACAGCCTCTGTGTTTTGTAAGATTCCTGTGCTGAAATGTGGCCACCAAGTGATTCACAAGGCTGCAAGTGAGATTTGTGTGTGGGGGATGATAAAAAGCAAATTAAAGGGCTCTTGCTCCTTCAGTGGTATTGGCAAGGGCAGGCTTCACAGATTCTCTGCAGCACAGAACAATACCAAGCAAACTCTTATCTGTCTGCCATTAGCTGATCCTTGAGAATTTGCAAACAAAGCTGTTATAAAACAGATTTGTTTTATAACTTAGTTTTTCCCTTGTGACTTTTCAAACAGATCAGTTTAGATAATTCCCATCCTCCTGTTAGACATCTGGCAATGTGCTGCAGTGCTGGGGGGAGAACATGTTGGTTGCTTTAAATAAATTTCACTGGTTAACTCATAAGGGGTTAATGATATTGCAGGATTTGTAAAGAACCTGCTCTGTGGTACATAACCTTAGGATTAAAGAGAGCTTACTGTACCTTTTTACTGATTAATTCATCTCCATTTATTTTTCTCATAAATATTGTTTCCCCAGTAAAGGAGAAGCAAGTTAAATCTTATGTCAATAATCGATTGCCAGTTTGATGTTTGAAATCTGTTCTGTTTGTTTAGACTCTGTGCTGTCCTGGGGACCCTACCTTTACAGCACTGTAAGTACCTTCTTAAACTCTTGGTCCTCACCTGATCCCTTGTGCTGCCACACAGTACAAATGAATGTTGAATTTTAAGATTATCTTGGCCTGAATAAAACCTCGAAAGCATGGAGGCTGTTAGCAATAAATGGATGTGGAATTGTAATTGAAGCTGTCCTTCTTTGTGTTTGTCTTCCAGTCTCTCCTTGATGATAATGGTCTAGCAGAGGTGACTGCTGTTGCCAAAGAAATAATGGATGCAATAAATAAAAATCAATATGGGCTGGCTACTGAGCTCTGGGGCAAGGCTGAAGGTGTCATTGAAGAGGTGAGATCTTTGACTAACATTAAGAACTAACTGCTGTCTGGGGAGGCACATGATTTCAAGTTATCCTTTCTATGAGTGCTGAGCTGGCATGAATTCTTCAACCCTCTGCCCAGTCATTTTTGCCAGGATTTGTTGTATCCCAGTGCTGATATAAAGGAGTGTTTGCTATGCCCTGCTGGGGGAGTGACAGAGAAAGTGGGCAGGACAGCCCTTGTGGTCTTCCAGTATTGCACTGAGGTTTCAGCAGACAACTAGTCCTCTTGACTCCACAGTTTCAATTTAAATAAACTCTATCTCCTGGAAAGCTTTGAATATTGAAAACTGCATCCACCAAGACACAAACTTGAAGTTAAGCACACATCTCTATTTGAAGAACTGCAGTAGGTGCACAGGATGGAAAGGAACCTCAAGTTATGCTCTGTTACTGTGGGTCACTGCATCTCGTTACTTAGAAAGTTCCAGCGTAAAAGACTGGTAAAGTTTTGCTTTGGTTTCTCCTGTTAAAAAGTTGCTACAAAATCTCATTCTTGGTTACCTCTCATTCTTAAATTCACATAAGGCTCTGGCTTCCTTGGACAGAAAGGCTAATCTGGAGCCACTTCCTTTTTTTCTTTTTTTGGGTATTTTTTGGTTTTTTTTTTTGCTGTGATTCATAACTGACAGTGCCTTGCACATAGTTGGTTTCACTTCTTGCTGTTCAGGAGGAGCTTTCAGTTCCTGTTTTACTCTTCAAATCTACTTTGCTTCCCCTCTCAGTTGTGGTGGTGCTGGCAGGTGAAGGCACTGCAGTTCTTGTGCAGTTGCTGTTGTGAGCTGATTTCTGACCTAAACATCAGAACTTTAAAAACTCAAAAATCAAGTAAAGCAGGGCTTCAAGAATCTGGAGTAACTTCTCTAATGGCAGCACTGCTCACATTTGTCCTTGGATTCAGGCAGCCTCTGTCAGCTGCATCAGGGCTGCCAGTCTGCAGTGCCTGGGCACATCCAGCTGTCAGCAGCTCCAGAAGAGGGCTGGCTCATACCCAGCATGTTCTCGAGGAAGCATTTTAGATTTTGGAGGTTTGTAGGTTGGAAGGATGTTGAGCAAGAGCAGCACTAAACCAGGCCTGGCAGAAGGGGCTGTCTAAAAGCATCACCTGGCACTGCAGCTCTCTGCCATGAGTAATGCAGGGTAAGACTTCCTGTAGCTTCACATCTGCTTCAGAGGAGTAAATAACATCTCTGGCACAACCCATGTGTGAACAATACAGGCTTGAGGAATCTCTTTCTCGCTTCTCAAAGCAAATGTAGAAATGAAGTTTTTTCACAAGTATCTTCCTGGTGTGCAGGTAAAGTGACCGAGTCCTTTATTTAGGATTTACTTTTTTTTTCTCTTTTTTCTTTTCAGGAAGGATTGTTCTTCGTCTCTGAGAAATGTTTTTATTAGTGTTACTGAAATTATCTTGTGTTTTCAGAACACTGACAATGTGAACTTTTATAACATCTTGACTAAGGAGGTACCAGAAGTGAAATCAGATGAACAGGAAAATTTCCATCTCAGTAAGTTGTATTTCAGTACTTGAACTTCTGAGGCCCTGTGTTTCCATTCACATCCCCTCAACCCTGACAGTGGAAAGAGCCTCAGTGTAGCACATCCTTAAAATGGATGTTGATATTCTCTCGAGCAGAACTTGTTTGCCGTTGCATAAGTGGAGACAGATAGGAATGTGGAACAACCCTATAGATGACACCTCCACCTATACATCCTGCACAAATTACAGCAAGGAAGCAGTCAGTATAATTGCAACGTTGTTTCATGACCTTTTAAGTTACTTCCTCTTACTGTCTTTCATTTCTGTCTTTAAGACAGGATGCCAGTGTCTCATCAGTAGAAACAGTCTGATTAAATTATTGCTCCATTATTTTTGTGCATCAATGTGAAAAACACATGTGCAGAACTTCTTTCAAGCTCTTTTTCTGTTGGCTTCATAAGGGAAGGTGAAATCAACTCCTGAAAGTAAAACACTGCAGATCAAAAATAACTGGTCTGTTGAGAAGAGCCAAGTGGTTAAAGCAGAAGCTGATGCCCAGAAAAGTGCAGTGTTAACTAAAAGCAGGAATGGATGGGGTCTTCCTGTATCATCCTGCCCTAAATAAGGGTTGACTTCAGTGGTTTCTAGTAAAAGTAAGCAAATCTGTCTCTGTGGTGTTGCATTTCCATTAGAAAAGGGTTTGTTGGCCATGATTGACACTGAAGATTGTTGTCTGTGCAGGATGGGGTCTTAAGTGTGCCACTGATCAAAGGGTGTTTGCTGTTTTTCAGTTCGGCTTTATCAGCGCCACGTCAGAAAAATGCACCAGAGCAGCCTTGATGAGCTGATGAATGGGCCCATCAGAAAGAAGCTGATGATCATTCCTGACTGTGTGAAGTGGGGAGGTACTTTCCTGTCTGCTAGTGTGCACCTGATGAGTTCATTGCCACTGTTTTACAGTATTGCATCCTGTAGGAAAATACTCTGGCATCTGGTCACATTCAATATCCTACAAATTCTTACCTATCTTTAGCCAAGTAACTAAAAATACAGGAGGAGAAATACAGTTCCTATATTTCAGGAACTGGTTTCTGTCTTTCATGTAGTCTTGCTGAAATTCCTGTTAGTTTTTCTCTGCCAGAAGTCTGGTATCATTGTTGCATCCTGTAGGAAAGTACTCTGGCAATATTCAATTGTCCTTGTCCATGGGGCTAAGGAGGGGATTTCTTCTCAGAAATGAAGATGTTGTGGGGCAGGCCTGTGGGTTCTGATTCTGCTGCTCATATCTATCTTTAGCCAAGTAACTAAAAATACAGGAGGAGAAATACAGTTCCTGTATTTCAGGAACTGGTTTCTGTCTTTCATGCAGTCTTGCTGAAATTCCTGTTAGTTTTTCTCTGCCAGAAGTCTGGTATCATCTGGCATTTTATGGAGGAGGGGGTGTAAAACAGGCTTAAAGGGTTGATGTGTGTGTAAATAGGAGCCAGAAACTACAGCACTGTCTATGAGCTCCAGTGGGAGCACAGCTGCTGTCTGGTCCTCCTGTTCCTCAGACTGATAAATCACTGCCACTTTTGGCTAGGATTGTTTTTTGGGCAGCTGTGAACTCCATTTTAAAGCCTTTAGCCCATGCTTCTGTCCCAACTTGGGGATGACATCCTTCATGACTTAAAATTTGTCTTTCTGGTTCCAACCAGGTCAGTCCAGACAGGTCTTTGAGAACATGGCTGAGGACTTCATGAAACCTGTCATCGATATCGTTGATCAGCTTTTGGCAGCCAATATCAGTGTGACAGTCTATAATGGGCAGCTGGACCTCATTGTTGACACCATGGGTGAGGAACTTCTTCACTGGGGGTGGAAACAGAACATGTGATGAATACAATGTGGAGCTGTCAGTATATTGATACCCAGATTTCTCCAGTCTCCTGTGCAAACCTCTTACCTAACTAGCAGTGCTTAAATACTACAGTCATAAATGAGCAGCACTTAGGATGTTTTGCTTATATCCCTCTGAGAGAGGCAAATCCTTTGCCTCCATTATACTGTTGAGAAATGGATCTGCCACATCAGTAATTGCTTGTTTCAGTGAAGCTAATAATTCACTTAATCCTCCTGGATAGGCACATAGATGTGTATGTGTGCATGCTCATTCATAGGCAAAGAATGCTGGTAATTAATGAGGGAGGGTGCAGTGATCACACCTGCTCTCATTGTAGGCTCCTGCACACCTTGGGCTTTGTTTGCTGCTTGCAAGATGCTGGTTTGGTGCAGGGGTAGTTTGGGAGCCAGGCCAAGTGCTGCTGAAATGCCTAACAAGGCTGCTGTGTGCCCTTCTGCTCATCTTTTCTCACCGAGTTAAAGAACCTGCAGTCACAGACTCCACAAACACCTTCCTGTGTTGTGAAAGGCTTTATTCCTTGTATGTCTCTGTCCACTTAGATAGTCAGATGCCCTTCATGAACAACACAGCAATCAATAAATCCAGGAAGCATGGTATTTAGGCTGTCAAAACAGATTGGCAGTTAGTGATGCTCCAGTTTATCACATTTTCATCTAAAATTGAGCTGTGGTTAACATGTAAATTCTTCCAGCAGTTCCCAGGCAGGCTAAAGCTTTGTCCCCCTTGGAGTCTTAGAATTGATCTTGTTGCTGTCTTGACCTCCACCTTCTCTAGCAGCACCTGGAAACAGAAAGCCTTTTCAGCCTCCTCTCAATGAGTGTCCAACAAAGAGAGAAACAGTGCCTCTTCTGATTTCCAGGAGGGGGACTTGGTATGGCTGATCCTTCTCCATGGCAGGACATTCAAGGTGTTTGAGGTGCAAAGTGAAATATGTTGGAATTTCTAGGGCTGCAGAGCCTCCAGGAAGCACATGTTCAACTTGTGCAATCCTAAACCCATTTCATACACACCTTCACTGTTCACTTATTCCCTTCTCCCCTCCATTGGTTTGTTTCAGTTTGTCCTGAATTTTCTTAGGCATAAGAAAATTTGTTTTAGGATCTGAACACACAGACTCTGTGCTAACTTCACTGTACTAGTTCAGGGCGTGCCCAGCTGAACTGGACTCCCAAGCTGCTGTGGAACCAAGTATTGGTAATTTCCAAGTATTGGTAGTCAGTGCTGTCTCTTATTTCCAACAGGGCAGGAGGCATGGATCCGGAAACTGCAGTGGCCTGACTTGGAGCAGTTCAGCCAGAAAAGGTGGAAGGCACTGTATGTGTCTCCAGAATCTGCTGAGACAGCTGCTTTCCACAAGGCCTATAAGAACTTTGCTTTCTTCTGGATTCTCAAGGCTGGGCACATGGTAAATAATGGAGTCCTTGGGGTGGAAGGAGACTGAAGGTGTGTGTGGCTGCTCTCTGCTTCCTTACAGCAGCTGCTTATTCTGTGCTTTTCTCCTTGCTAGGTACCAGCTGACCAAGGAGAGATGGCACTCAAAATGCTCAGGATGGTGACTCAGCAGCAGCACTAGGGAAGGGAGGACACCTGGTCTGACTTCCTGTCCAGCAGCAGGGCTCTGGAGGAGTGTGAATCTGGATCCTGAGCCAAAGGAGGCACAGTGGCTGTTTGGGCACACAGCCTCCATCATCTTGCTGATACTGTGCACAAGTGCTTGTGGAAAGGCGTTTTTTTCCTTGAATGAATTATTGCTTTTGAACTTTTTAAGCTGTGATTTGCTGCCTTAACACTGTTCATAAATGACTCTTCCAGAGGGAAGTCCCCTGTCATAAAGAACAAGCCCTGAACCTTTGCCTTGGAAGGATTTTGTGCTCTTGCCCTTCCCTGAATGCTCCTTTGTCTGTTTGCACACCAAGAGTAAAACTGATTTGACTTCATTTGCTCTGTGTTCCTTTGGGAGAGCTGCTCTGCTTCATGAGGTTGTGGAATGTTCCTTCCTTTGTCCTCAGGCTTGAGTCACCTGGCTGGATTCAAGATGAAGACCTGGAAATGCCAGGACAGAGGACCTGCCCTAGAGGTCACAGTCCATCTCATCTTGCTGAGGTGCCTGAATTAGGATCCAGGATTCTTCAGACTTCCTGTGCTCTGGAGAGAGAAAAACATCCCACAGAGGAGGATTTGTCCCTTTTCATCTGACCATTTGTTTCTTGTTTCCATTCTTCTTAATGCCTACTACTCAAATGTTGCCTTTATCCTTCACACCTAAAGCATATCCAGCAGGAATTCCTGCTTTTCTGTATCCTGAAGCAGAAGGCCTGTTAATACCTTCTTGTACCAAAGAGTCCCAACAGACAGAAGCTTCTTAAAACCTTCTGGGTTTAGCCAGAAAGAAAGGAGCATTATTTAAGCAATAACAGTATAATTCTGAAATATTATAGGGGTGTTAAAAAGAAGGATATACAAAATCTTAATCCACGTCTTTTGGAGAGAAGTCTTGCAGACACCTATTATTTTGAAACATTTCTTTTTAATAATACATAGTCAAGAAGAGACTTGGTCAGGCACAACAGCTCCTTCCAGCTCTCAGAATCCTAAATAAATAACAACCTCTCATTTACTCCAGCCACTGAAACTGTCATGAAATAGCTGATAGCATTGTCTTAGCAAGAACTGAGGCACTGTCCTGGTTTAGGGCAAATTTGTGACCCCAAAAGGGGTCCCTCTAGAAAGCAGATTCAAACTCTTCCCTCTACTGGTTTGGGAAAAGATTTCCTTGGAGAAAAGTGGGGAAGCAGCAGGGAGGTTTCTGGAATGTACCAAGAAGAGAGGTTTGGCCCCAGGGGATCTGGAGGACTGTGGGATGTGGAAGAGGAACAAATGTCGTCCATTCACCGTGGCTTGACGTTTTATTCCCCCTGCCAGCCTCGGCAGGTGGGTGCCTTGGGTTGGTGGCAGACGTGCAGTGGAGTGACCGGCCACTCGGTGGAGTAAGGAGACCTCGGAATGCCAGGGGAACGCTGGCATTGGCATCTGGCTGTCCCTGGTGCTGTCCTAGGAACACCAGGGAATATTCGTTTGACCCTGTGAATTGCCAGTGGAATCGGATTTATGGGAACCTCCGCAGAGGATTGTTTATTTTAGCCCTAACTTCGGGAGAACAGGTAGTTTGGTCTTTGTGTAGTATGTGTGCTGTAAGAAGAAACAAATAAGGCATTAATATGTTTGAATTGAGTGCAGTTGCTCTCTAGCTGGGCTCATCTGACAGGGTTTTGCTCATGCCTAATTCATAATCTGGAAAGAATGCTGTTGAAATCAAGCAAGAGCATTCATACTGTGTAAATTAATCCAGTAAAAGTTTTACAAGGTGAGGTCCTATAGTATTAAGAAAATTTCAAAGGAAGATCCTTGCTTGTAGAAACATTTCTACAAAATTTTTAAGTTTTGTTCTTGCTGTTTAACATTTTATAATAGAAAAATAGATTAGAGGAAAGGCATTAAAAAAAATCAAGTATTTTGTTTCTGTTCCAAACTCAAGCTAGTCTGAGAAAATGCCATTATCTCTTAAGTAATATCTTTAAGTTCTCAGGGGCAAGGGTGTTAATAAGCTGATTATTTCTGCCTGTTACCTGTTTTTTGTGACATTGAAAGAGAATGTCCAGTTGATAAAGTACATCTATTATCTGTGGTTAACCAGAGCAGTCAATGGGAAACAGGATTTCATTCAAAATACAGTAAGACTACGAGAAGCCAAATATTCAAGGAAAGCTATATTGTGAGAATAAATAAAGAGAAATTGTGCTCTGAAGCTGTTCTTAGGGACTGGGTCTCTGGATGTGACTGGAACACAACCAGAATTGTATATAGGGCCATCAGCCCTGGGGAGTGCCCTCCTTAGACAGTGTTTCTGACACCAGATTACAGTTTGCTATCTGAGTGGAACTGACATTGATGGAAAAGCAGCTGATTGTAAAGAAATCCTGCAAATGACAGCCATGGTGTGTGGTATGCAATGAAATATTTCCTCTTGATCTATTTATTCTCAGCATGCAAATATGGTAGCACTACCACTAGTCATATTTCAAATTCTGGAAGGAAACTAGAGTGGCACTATGTAAAATATTATTTCACATAGTTCATGAGTCAAATGGAGAAGTTGCCAATTATCTCTGATTAAACAGGCAGTTAGATATACCAGTAAGGAGAAATACCCACTGGTGCATGCCCTACCTCAAAGTGGAGAGGCAGGGATGAGCAAGGAGCAATGCCAGCTACACCCCTGGAAATAAAAAACAACCTCCTGGATTCAGCCCTAAAAACTTCACCTTGGCAGAGCAGCTGCCCAGCAAGTGGGTGCCAAGTTTTTGGTTCATTGTCCTGATTTTAGTCCCCATAAGACACCCCCGGCTTTAAGATCACAGACCCTACTGACAGCATCTCTCATCCCAGTTCTCCCGTGTTCAGTGCTATCAAATCATCTCCCAGCTGTCAGATATTTGCTCCACATATTCAGCTCTCTGTAATGACAGCTTCTACAACCTTTCCACCTCTCTTATCAGCTTCATTCCAGTGCTTGCTGCCAATCTGTGGCAGTTCTTGGACTTCAGCACTAATTCCCCAAACACAGTGTCTAAACCCAAATCTGCATCCACCCCTTCCAAATTAGTGCAAGATTGACACAGATTTTAATGATGACAGTTTTGATCTAAATCCATGTTGCCCCTTACTTGCCTAGACCAAGTTCCTTCATCTTCCAGCAGAAGATAAAGGAGAGTCAGTGGAAATTAACTGGATTTCATGAAACTGAGCACAACCCCTCTGAGGTGTGGGAACTCTTCCTCTGGTCATGACAAACAGGAATATTCTTTTTTAAAATTTTTTCCTACCACAATATTTATTGTGACTCCACTTCCCAGTCTGGGCCTGCTCAGCTGCCCACCTGCACACAGAGAGGGGAGTCAGACAAGGAGCCACTGAGATAATCAGTGACACAGATGTGCTCTGAGCCTTTGAAGAGGCTGAACTGACTTCAGAGCAGTTAGACTAACAGGAGCTGATTCCACACGGGTGTCTTCCCACAACTCCAAGGGCCACCACCTCACATATTTTTGAATAGGTGTCCCCAAGGGGTGTGCTGAGCTCAGTCCCCATATAAACTGAGGAGTTCAAGGGTCTCAAGATAAAAGCTAAACATCCCCACATCTCAAGAATCCTGCTCTAACTAAAAAGCTTCAGAGAAGATTGCTGATCAAATATTCTGCTTCCCTTTTTCCTTTCACATCTCCTCATACCTCTTCAGAAATTCTTTGCTTCCCAAGGTTCATATCTGATCTCTGCACTTTGATTTTTTTTTCCCCTCAGACTGGAAAGACCGTTTAGTACATCACTGGGGGAAAGGAGAACTCTTCTGTGATTTTCTTTGTAAAAAATAACAGAAGATCAAAGTGGCAGAGGCTCTGGACCCAGCTCCTTATCTCTCTGAGGGTGGATATGTGGGGAATTGTATTGCTGTCAGTGTGTTGTTGATTGACAATTGATTTGCAGGCTACAGGGCTGTCAAGCCAGCCTCTTTCCAAACCCTGAATTTGCACATAAAAGTGATGAGAGACTCATGGTCAAAGAAATAAAACTTCCTGAGAACACACCTGGTTTCTAAAAAGAGATAAATTTGAGCAGATTGCTCTAATCATGGAATTTTCAGGGTTGTTAAGGGCCATATGGACCTCTCCTACTGCAAGAAGCAAATGAATGGATACTGTCTCGATTCAAAACCTGCTGCACTTACATGGTCATTTTAGCTGGACAGCTTTATCAATCACCTACAGGACGTCACTCAGTGATTGATGTTCACCTGCACTTAGCATCTACAGCAGGAAAGGAGTGCTGGCAGAGGCAGTGAGTACCTGAGCCGGACTCAGCCAGAGCTCCTTCCTCCCCAGGAGCTGGAGTCATCATGCCTGAAGAAACAGTGCAGAAACCAGATCCATCCCCAGCCTCCCCTCTGTCAGCTCACAGCTGTGGGCTTCAACGGCACTCCAAAACACTCCTGAAAGAAAGAAAAGGGGCAGAACAGAGAGATAAATTAAAACCCAGCCATGGAGCACAGCAGTTGTGGGCAGCTTTAACGAGGAACCCCGCAAAGGCAGGGACCTCCTTTAGTTCCCCCGCAAAGGCAGGGACCTCCTTTCGTTCCCCTGCAAAGGCAGGGACCTCCTTTCGTTCCCCGCTCTGCCTGGTTAAAGCGGGGCCGGGCAGAGTCAGTGCCCAGGATCCCTCCCACGGCTCTGCCTGCTCGCTCGAGCGCAGCGCAGCGCGGGGAGCTGCGCTTGTCCTGCTTTGCCTTAATTGCCCCTTAACTCTCTACACTCGGCTTTCCCCCTCTACCCTGGAACTATTCAGACCAGGCTTTTTCTAAGAAAAAACATTTCAGCGTGACTGGTGTTTTGTTTGGGGTACCGGACTGGGATACAGAGCAGTGAAGGGGCTGCAAACGGGGCCGTGCGCTGCCGCAGAGCCCGGGGGGTGCCAGGCCAGCGGCGTCCCGGGCTGCTGCTGCCCTCCTGTCCACCCTGCCCCGCTCCCTGCCCGGCTTCCCTGCCATTGCCACTGTTCCCACACCCCGTCCCGCTGTCCCCGGTCCCGTTGTCCCCACTCCCCCTGTCCCCGTCCTGCTGTCCCCGGTCTCTGTGTCCCCGCTCCTGCTGTCCCCCCCGCTCTCTGTGTCCCCATTCCCGCTGTCGCCCCCGGTCTCTGTGTCCCCAGTCCCGCTATCTCCCCGGTCTGTGTCGCCGGTCCCGCTGTACCCCCAGGTCTCTGTGTCCCCACTCCCCCTGTCCCCGGTCTCGCTGTCCCCGGTCTCTGTGTCGCCGGTCCCGCTGTACCCGGTCTCCCTGTCCCCCCGATTTCTGGTCCCCGCTCCCGCTGTCCCCGTCCCGCTGTCCCCGGTCTCTGTGTCCCCGTTCTCCCGGTCTCTGTCCCCCCGGTCTCTGTGTCCCCTCTCCCCGGTCTCTCTGTCCCCAGTCCCGCTATCTCCCCGCTCTCTGTGTCCCCGGTGCCGCTGTCCCCTGTCCCCGCTCTCTGTGTCCCCAGTCCCGCTGTCCCCTGTCCCCGCTCTCTGTGTCCCCAGTCCCGCTGTCCCCTGTCCCCGCTCTCTGTCCCCGCTCTCTGTGTCCCCTGTCCTCTGTCCCCGCTCTCTGTCCCCGCTCTCTGTGTCCCCAGTCCCGCTGTCCCCGCTCTCTGTCCCCGCTCTCTGTCCCCGCTCTCTGTCCCCGCTCTCTGTGTCCCCTGTCCCCGCTCTCTGTCCCCGCTCCCGCCCGGCCCCACCGGGGCCTCCCAGCTGCCCGCGGCGCCCCCTGGCGGCGGCCGCGCCTCCCTCAGCGCCATCCTCCAGCTCTGCCCTATTGTTCTCCCGCCCGCCGCTCCCTCCCTCCCTCCGCCGGGGCTCGCGTCCTCCCTCCGCTCTCCTCCATCCCTCCCTCCATCCCTTCCTCCTCCTTCTCGCCGTCGCTCCCGCCCCGCTCCCCGGAGCTGATGTCACGCACCCGCTGAAGGCGCGGGCGATCATGGCTGCTGCGGCCGCGGCCGTGCCGCCGGCCTCCAGCTAATGCCCGCGATGGAGCCGGCCAGCCTGCTGCGGTTCCTGCGGAAGCTCAAGGAGGTTTTCGATGTGTGCGATGAGGATGCGGACGGGTTCATCCGGGTGGAGCACTTCGTCGCCCTGGGGCTGCAGTTCGGCCAGGGGGATGAGGTGAGTGCGGCGGCCCGCGGCCCCCGCGCAACTTTCACCTGCTGTGTCCGGCCGGACCCCGCCCGGGCCGCCCCTCACGCACCTGTCCTCCCCGCGGCTCCCGTCCCCTCGGTTCGTGCCTGAGGGCAGCCCGGTGCCGCTCCTCGCGGGGTGGCTCGGGCTCCCTCCGTTCCTCGGGGGGTGCCGGAGCCCTGCCGTGGCGGCCTGGAGCCCCTGCCCTCAGGGCCATCAGCCGCCTTCCCTTTCCCGTGGAGCCCTCCCCAAAGACAGCCCCGCTCCCTCTTTCCCCGGGGTCCCGGAGCATCCCTCGGGGCAGCCTAGACCCCTCGGGTACAGGGACGGTTCCTTTCGAGGGCTGTTTTTATTCCGGTTTTTGTCCGTCCTGGCTGAGCTGAGCTCGGTGGGGCTCTGGGAGCGGTGTCCGGATAGTCAGGGAAGCACCTGTCCGGGAGCCCCAAACCGCCCGGGATGGCTCGGGAGCGAGGGCTGCGCTCATCCCTGCACCCTCCAGCCCTTCGGTGACACAGCGTAAATCTGGAGTCGCGCCACCGGTCTCGGCAGAGCGTTGCGTCAGTGGGACCGCTGTGAGTCGTGACATCAGTGGAGATGGGAGTGGGATTCGGGCCAGAGGCAGCGAGGGCAACGCCGTGCGCTGGTTGGAAACATTCCCTTCAGTCATTCAGTCAAGGGCTGCAGCTCCAGCGAAATGAACCAGCAAGAAACGCTTTCCTAGGAGAGCTCTTGGGATGTTGCACTTCACTGTTCAATGCTTTGCGATGTGCCCCAGCAACTTTGGGTGCCTGGGAGGAGTGAAGCTGGGCCTGTGATGAGGTTCAGAAAACCGGTGTCAAACAGCCTTTTAGAGTACAATAAAACAAATTAATGTGTGGAGCTAATAAAACAGTGGTTTGTAGAGGGATGCCAAAGAGGAAGCAAAGCCAGAGTGAATTCAAGTAATTGTTGGAGCAAATTCTTATTTCTAGCTTGCCACTCGTAGTGAAACACAGCTTGTGAATTAAATCAGGAAATCAGGAGACAGAAGGCTTATTACTTACAGATAGTCACAGGTCTTAAACATTTTCTTAATGAGAAGATGCAGTTTGTGGTTTTAACAAGCAAATTAAGGAGAAATGAGTAATTGTAACAAGTTTTATTGATTTCGGGTTTATTTCTCTCTTGTATAATTTTATATAAACTAATAGAAGTATTTTTAAATCCTTATTGCCAGATAAACTGCATCCAAATTGCTTTTTGGAGTCAGATTCAGTGGCTTTCTTGTGCAGCACTGAGGAAGACTGACAAAATTCCACTGGCTGCTCTGCAGCAGGATGACACTGATGGTCATAACAATCATTTTTGGTTTTAGAAATATTTCAGGTTGCGAGAGTGGAGCGGTGTTCTCTAAGATGTGACAGAGGGTTCAGGTAATAATCTGATAAGCTTAGAGTGAATTGGAGTATATTAGTAGAAAAATATTTAAATAGAGAGAAAGAGAAAACTGGAAATCCCAGTAAAGACAGGGCTGGAAAAGTACCAGTTGTCAGTGATCGTTTCAGGATGGGCTGCCTTGCTGGGCAGGCACAGGAGAGAGTGCCAGTGCTGAGAAATGCTTGCTTTGTATTTCGTTCAGTTGTAACTGGCAGTGTTTGATAAGATATTTGTAAAACTGGGACAGAGGAGTCTTATCTCTATGTCATACTTCTTTATCTATCAGTGTTGTAATATAACTTGTTCTGGTTTACTTCTCCGTGCCTGGTATGGTTGGTGTTGGAAGGCCCTTGACTTCAAAGGAGCAGCTGAGTAAATGGGATTTGTAAATCACCCAAAGAGGTTTGCTAGTGAAATACAGAATCAATTTTCCAAGTGCAAATTTACTCCAGGGCAACCACTGTAGGTGAACTGCTCTAGTTTAAAGGCTTGTTAAAAGCGAACTTTTTGTGTGATGAATCACAGTTGATGTTTGGAGATGGTGAGAATTTACTCTCCCAAGTAACACAGCACTTCCTACCTTGCACCTGCAGGAACACACCAAGTTCTGTGTGGAAATGCATCTCATGAAGTTAAACTGAGGAGACACTGTTAGGGAGCAGTTCCCTTTAACACATTAGAACATATTTACTGTCAATGACAGTTAGTTTCATTTTTGATTGTGCTAAACTTCTTGGGCCTCATCCTTCTGGGCTCCCCTTACATTCAAAAGAAATCTTTCCATGAGCATCAGTGGAAGATTGATTTGCCCTCATGTGCAATGATATATAAACAGAATATTATTCTGTTTATAGAGTTCATCTGGCCACAGGAATGCTATTTTGTAGCACTGTGTACTGAGTAATTCTGATACTTACCAGCAGTAGCCTGGGGTCATGCCTGTGAAATGAGAGAGTATCTATGAAGGGCATACAGATTTCCATCTCTTCTCTACCTCCTCAGAGCCACCACCATCCAAAGTTTGGAGTGCACAAATTCTTAATACTAACTTCAGTAGGGTTTATAGGGCATTTAGCCTTTTCTGGGTTTTTTATTCCTCTTTCTGTTTTCTTTTTCTTTCTTGTGTGTGGTGTGTAGTCAACATGCTGAATGTTATTATTCCTGAAAGATAACAACTCTCTGAAAACTGCCCCAAGGCAAAATTGTTGCAGCAAGGCAGCAGCTTTCCCTTCAAGCAAAGCACTCCTTACCTGCACAGTCACAATAATAAACTGTAATGTTTCTGGTTAACGTTTTTTTCTCTTTTATTTTAATGGGTTTTGAAACCTCTGCTTCTAACAGGTTCTAGCAAGTTTGCTTGCAAGCTTTTGCTTTGCCCTGCAAAGCGTGTGGTTTAACTAGAGGAAAAAAGGATTTGGTTGTGTTGATTTGGCAGAGCCAGGAACAGAACCAGGTCTCTAAATTCCTGAATTTAGAGCAGACCTGACTGGCTCTCAAGCACTGCTTGCATATACAAACAGTTGTGGAACTCTGCTTTTAGGCAGTTGGGCATTCTGGCCTCTGTTCATCCCATCTGACTGTGGGCATTTAACTGAGTTGTCTCCATCAATCTTTCTCTGTGGCCACTGATGAGCAATTGAACACTCAGAGGCTGTAACAGGACCAAAGGATGAAATAATTCCCATGGAGATCCTTTGTCTCCAGGACAACAGAAACTCCTAGCTGAGACTTTTGGTTCCACGCTTGGGTCTGACTTTCCTCATGAATGGGGCGTTTGCCGTTTGTGTAGAAATCTGAAGAAAGACACCAAGGGCTGTTTCCAAAGCGACTTAACTGGATGGCATGTGCTCACTAGCTAAAGAAACACTTCACATAACACTGAGAAATGCCAAGAGTCACTCACCATCTGGTTCCCTTTCACTGGGAAAAGAGTTGCAGTACAGCCAAGTGTCTGGGAGCATCATGAGTGACACGTTCAGCAAGCCCCAGTTCTGGCAGCGGATTGTGTGAATGTGTATTTCAGGGTAGTGCCAGTTGATGTTTCATTATGCCAGATTCTACTTAAACTCCACACTCAGTTTTAAGCAACAAGTGAAGTAAGCTGAGTGTGTTGACAACTTCTTTCTGAGGCAGGTAAACACCTTTTGGAGGTGCAAACCATGCAGGCGCTCGCACAGTCATCTTTGTCATGGTGAGATCTGCTCATCGACTTGAAGCAGTGTCACAACTGAAAGGGAACTTCAGCAGCTAATAAAATGTATAGCCAATATCAATTATTCACGTGAGTGGACAGTAATTTACTTAAAGCCAATGGTTTACTAGTGGTATAGAACAGAAATAGCTAAAAATGAGTTCACATATTTCTCATGAACAGATTAAAATTTTTGGCCAAAGAAAACTGTTATAGGGAAATGTTTGTTGCTAATTTCAGTCATCAGCCCCATTCAGGGCTGAAGTTAAAGGCATCAACCTCAAGTGCTGCCCCAGCAGTGGATTGTGGCTGTGGCTGGGTTTAATAGCCCTCCTTGGTGCTTCCTTTTCACTTGCTTCCTTTTGACTTCCCAGGAGCTCAGGTTGTCATACTCCAAACAGCCCTTCTGCTGTAACTACACCAGAAGGAGCTTTTCCTGTAATTTCAGGACTGTGATTTCACTGCCTGACAATCCAGAGTCTTTCTGAGGAGTCTGGGTGAATTTCAGTAGTGAATTCACTGCTCCTGGCTGTAGTGTTGCAGCTCAGAGTTGCACCCAGAAATTAAAGGAAACAAAATTCCTGTCAGTGTGCACAATGGCAGAACAGCTCATACCTTCTTGGTAATATGAGTCTGCAGCATGAGAAGAAGAGACTTTGGCACTGAAAGATGGAAACAAAAGGGTGTTATCAAGTGATACTGCCATTGTTATAAGGCCATACTTCTTCTTTGCTTTTCCTGGAAATAATTATTGAAAGAAACAATAGAATATTTGCCTAGACAGTATCAAGAATACAAAGAGCACTGCCACGTGACAGTGTTTTCTAGGCAGCAGCAAGGCTGCTGTGCATTCAGATTCCTTAAAACTCTATTTGCTAATGACCCAGATGTTTAATTTAACTTACAATGACTGGAAAAAATAGAATTCTGAAGTGGAACAGTGGGGTACTCAGTTTATGGATTAGTAAAGGTACAGCCACTGCAGCCTCCCTAATTCCATACGAACTAGCAGTGAATATGTTTAAAATAGCCTTTTGAAAAATGCTGAAACTAAGCATGTATTTCTAAACAGCTGACATAAAGCAAGCTTGGTACTTAGCGTTAATGAAACGTCTGCCAAAGCACTGTGGTGAGAGAGGAGCTGTAGGTTTGCTGTGCACTCATGAGTTTAATTTGTTATGTAATGTTTGCATTTCAAAGGTAGAGCTCGGAGGGGTACAGCTAAGAACTGATGCATGTACAGCTAAGAATTGATTATTGCTGTGTTTTGCAGTACAAGTCAGTGATCTGAAACAGTAAATTCTTAATGCCTGAAGGAAAGGCAATCAATTTTGATAGCAATTCTTGATATTTAAATGACTGTATTTTATCACTACCTCAG